CCCCCCCCCCCCCCCCCCAACAAACCCCGACCATTCCGCCTTCGGTAACGATGTGAGTGGTGTCGGTGCTGGAGTGACGACCGTCGTCTCGAGCGTCGTCTCGGCGGAGTGCGCAAGACGCCCGTCCGCATCGCCGAGCGCCGCGACGGCGACTATTAAAATCCGATGCCGCGGTGGGGGCGTGTTTGCCGTCGGAGCGGCGCTCGACGACTGGAAGGTGAGCCTCGTCCTTGGCGCCGCCCACCGTCCTATCGACGCCTCGCGCTCCTCACCGGCACTCCGACCCCCTCCCCAAGACCAAGGAGCGCCCTCTCGGCCGACACTTTTTGCCCTTTTCCTTGGGTTGCGGCTCGCGCCACCGGAAAAGCTACGCCCTTCTCGCGGGACTACTTCCGGTCGGCGCACCCGCCCCACCCCTCGCCACGTTCGACGACGCACACCTCACCCGGGTCCCTCGGACTCTTCTGCTGCTGTCCCCCTCGCCCCTCGGCCAATCCGCTACTTCCTCGTCCCTCGCCGACCCCGTCGTCGTCTCGGCCGCCAACTGAGGCTCCATCAACGCCACCCCCACCAGCGGTTATTTCCGCGCGAGACTGATGGATGGGGTATGGGGGAACTACTTCCATGTGGAGCTACTTCCACGGAGACACGGCGACACCGATGCAATAATAAACGAAAAGGTAAGGCGAATGAAGGATTTTCAGAGCGGATGAAAAGAATTTGTCGACCGCGACAATAATGGGGATGGCAGCGCGGGGAATGCATTTAACACAACAAAACCTCCTCTTTAATAAATATATTAGCTTTATTTATATACCATAATATATTATAAGCAATATGCAATATATTTGTATTCTATGCGTGATAAACTATAAGATTGACATTATATGTGGTTGCGTAAAGTATTGCTCTCGAGAAAACTAGGAGTGCTTGTTTCTTTCTATCTTTATTGGTTGATTGTTGGATGGTTGGTCGATTGATTATTATTCTTACATTGTTTCTTTTATCCGGACACGCTTACAATTGCTACGTCAGCGAACTATATTACTTGCTTCTTTTTTTTTTTTTTTTTTAATTAATTAATTAATTTATTTGTTTGTTTTTTTTTTCTTTATTTTTTTCGTTTCTTTTCTTTTTGGTTATCTTGATCCTTCGTTACATAAGGCACGTTCGGTGGATAACGCAGGCGGTCTCGGTTTACGGCAAACGATATGCCGTCGATCATCGTTGCCAAGGACGAGCTTACGCAAATCAAAGTCGTCGTACGTGTAAATGTAGTGACACCACTTGCGATTGCAACAGTATTGATACAATATCTGTGTAGGTGCCCGTATCTCCGGCCCTCGATATGCAACGAGGGTCTTCCTGTACACATCTTATTATAATTAGATGTTAAAGTTAGAGATAGAAGTTTTAAGAAAATTGCATCATCGACGTCAACGGGAAGGCGTGAAAAAAAAAACATGAAAAAATTAGAATAGTAGAGAAGCCGATGATCCGCCGATGTCGACTCGTACAGTTATGTCTCTCATCCTTTCTTCCACAAGTCGCGTCTCTTCCTTCACTGACACACACGCGCACGCGCACACACACACACACACGAACATTCTCTCTCTCTCTCTCTCTCTCTCTCTCTCTCTCTGTTCCTCCATGTATTTCTTACTGCGACCGTTTTGCCACGAAGGAAGCCGAGGAAAGGCCGTGTTGATGAATGGAAAGCTGCATTTCGATCAACTCGCGTGGATGACGCGGCCCACCTCCTTGTCTCATCTATTTACGTAAGCGCTCGTGCCGCGCCCTGTTCATGAGAACAGGAAGATGCCTCGTGCGCGGGCGTGCACGCGCCCGTACAAGTTCGTGGCTGCGGGAAGCGGCGTTCTAGACGTCGACCTTGAAAGGCGAACCGGGAATTTGGTCGTCGCCCCACTTCACCATGACGATGTATTCGCCCCGCTCGCGCACCAAGTAGCTCACATTGTAATTGTTGCGGCCTGCGTGCTTCACGAACACCTCCTCGCACGGTCCCTTTGGCCCGTGCACACCCACGAACAGGATGTTGTTCCCTGTAACGCAATTTTCAATTTATTTATTCATTCGTTTAATTCCTATTGCCTGCGGCCCCTGCCTCGAGCATACACACATCGCCTCCCCTCCCCCGCCTCACCAACATTAATTACCCCACGAGCACTTTATTCCAAATGTATATATTTTTTATTTTTAGTTTGCTTTGAACAAGCGAGAGGGATTGATTATCCGAGAAAGATGAAACTAATTTGTAGTAAAAAACGTTCTCTGTTGTTCGCATTTAAACCACCGGGCGCTAGAACATTTTTAAACAACCTCATTGCTAATTGCCTAATCGCATCATGAAGATTATTAGGATTATTAGGGCTTGGATGAAAGTTTCGCTCTCCCCCAAAAGGTCACGTCCCCTTCATGTTAAAAGCCAACTAAAACCACCGCCGCATCAAATAATCGATCAAATGAAAATTTGATGATTCAAGATTAAAGAGCCAACCAAGATGTATTGGTTATCGATGACGTACCGGCATCGCCCGCGTTCACGGTGAATTGATTCTGCTTTCCCAAATATGCCTTTTTCAAGCCCATGCCCTTGCTCGTGACCTTGCTGGCGTTGGAGTTGAAGCGTGGAAGAACGGGGCCCGTTTGTTTGGCCTTGGAGAACTTCTGAACTGTCTCGACGACGATAGAGCTCGTCTCCTGTGCTCCTCTTTCGGCGAGATCCGCCCCTGAAACAATCGATCGAGTCGTTACATCGGTATTGCATTTTCCCATTTTCTACCCAATAAGACGCAAAGCCTAACGTTGTTTTACCGCCATTTAGGGCAGCGAAGCGAATAAATATGTAATAATAGTTGAATAAAGGAAATGGAAATTGGAGGAATTGGTGGGGTAAATAGTCTTACGGTCTTCGGCATTTGAAACAAAGTTAGAGAATCTTGGAGCTCGAGACTGCAACAACGTCGTTATCAGGTAAGGCCAAGCTCTGGTCAATCAGGTGGCCCTTACAAGTGCGGGAGGCTAAAGATAGAGCGAATGACGGTACGAGAGCGAAGTAGTCTCACCAGTCGCGTTGACCTTGAATGGCGAGCCGACTATGTGGTAGCCATTGTACTTGATGCTGACGTAGTAGTCGCCGGGGACGAGGGGCGTGTACCTGACCTTGTAGCCTTCCTCGACCTCGGTGCAGTCCATGGCGACCTTAGAAGGGCCGTCGACGGTGACGCCGAGGGCGCCGGCGCCCGCGTTGCACGTGTCGATTATGAAATCCGTCTTCTGCCCGGTCTTGATCTTCTTAAGGCCGTTGCCGTGGGCATGGATCGCCGCCGGGTCCGCGTCGACCTTACCCACTTTCACGCGGTAGGGGCTGCCATTGATATGCACCCCGTTGTACTTTAGGTGGATATTGTGGACGCCATTCTCCCGGGGCATGAAGCGCACCGAGTACTCCTCGGAGTCGATAGACTGGATGAAGCAGTCGTCCTCGACGCCGTTCGGTGAAACTATCTGTCGGGGATGCAACATTCGCTTCTCTTAACATTCCATCGATCCTTGTGATATTTGTAGAAATAGCCTCGGCAGCATTATCGTCCCTATGCTTCGAGCTACTCATTACGCGCAGTTAATATTTGCCGATAATTAGCTCTTACACGCACGCCTCCCCCCCCCCCCCCCCCTAGCTCTGACACGCACGCCTCCCCCGCCCCTCACCCCCTACCCCCCTACAGCCACAACCAAACTCCACCCCCACCTCCAAACACCACGTACGCGATCCCATTTTTTCACGTGAAAGCATCTGATATAATTCGGAGACTAAGTGCAGGGGCGACATTTTCTTTCAGTAGTGCGCTATTTATATATGGACATGGTGGAGCGAGAACCGAAGTGCCAAATTTGTCAAGGCAGCTACGAAAGCAATTAATCTTTCGTGATGACTTTGTACGCGTTTCGATAATCCACCACCGGAGGCGTTTATTGCCATGCTGCGTGTAAGTGTCGCGATTTGCTTAATTCCCCGTGTTATATGGGTCACCGTGTAATCGTCGAATAGGCTCACTAATAATAGGATCACCAATAGGAAATCACTAATTAATAATGACTCCGCGTGCCATTATTTTATTCGTAATCATTAAAGTCGCGTTGGCCAGCTTATGCGTTATACCGTCGTTTAAGCATTTAAGTGGCGATTTGCTGGTTTTTCCAAATGTAAAAAGTCCTCGAGGCCCCATCCTCGCATAGCGTAAGCCGACACTATTAACACTGGCGGCCGTGGCGACCGTTTAGAAAAGCTTTACCTTGCCGTCGAGTTCGCCCTTAGCGCCATTCTTGCGTACGAGGAATGTGTATGGCTTGTCAGTCTGGACGTTGCCTTCGGGAAATTGGGCGACCTCGAGCTTGTGAGCGTCGCCCATCGCCGGGGCAACGTAGAGCTTGTGCGGCGAGTCCGGGATGTGCTGGTCGTTGAACTTTATTCCCACCCTGTATTCACCTGAAAACAGAGGGCAAAAGAGGGGCGGGAGGAGTATTGTACTGTTATTGCTGTTATGTGGGAAAAACACGAAATCGAGAAGTAATTATGGTCGGTCGATGGATTTTTCAACTAAATAATTTTTGCTATTTGAAATTAGAGACGAGGGCCAATAAGCAGTATCGTGCATACGCGGTATTTACTGTTCGTTCAAAAGGATGCGTTCACGCAGACTTGGAGAAATACAAAATATCCTTGTGAATAAGAGAACTTTGAGCCAGAATATCATTGGAAGATAAGTTTTATTCAAGCATTTTTATTATGAAATCATATGTTATTGCGAAGGGTATTTCCAGCAAGCTCGATTTTCTTCGAGAATATATAGCTACTCGTATCTTCGAGCATGAATGGACAATGAGGTTGGAAGAGAGCGGAAAAGGAGAGAAATAAAACGAGATAAACGGTGTAACGAGAATGGAAGGAGCAAACTTTGGTTAAATATGACTATTTGTCTTTAAGTTGCCTCGGAAAGTCTTGGTAGCATCGACCAATCCAGAATTTTCCTCTTTCACCTTCTCTCTCTCTCTCTCTCTCTCTCTCTCTCTCTCTCTCTCTCTCTCGCTCTCCTTTTCGTAATGTCTTTTCATCTTCCATATCTTCTGTAGCCGCGAGGAGAAGCGCGACCCAAATATAACCAGCACAGGCGCATCGACTTGATCGTCAGTGGCGCGCATACATGAGCGAAAATATGAATTCCACCTTAACAAATATAGATGATGGTATTTCTGGACCAAATTCAAATATATATATATATATATATACACACACACACGCATATATATATATATATGTGTGTGTGTGTGTGTGTGTGTGTGTGTGTGTATGTAGTAGAGGAGGGAGTCGACAACTTTGTGAATAGAGGCTTGGCTTCTCATCGTAGATCTCGTACTTAACGAAATGTAAATAAACGTTTTGGGTGACGATCGATTGCTCGAGTACATCTTTATTTTTCGAACTTTTAGGATAAATACAGTTAGAGAAAAGAAAAGAGTTAGAAAAATCGAAAAGAGTGAGAGAGAAAGAGAGAGTTGTCCATGATATATAACATGGAAAAATACTTGTACTTATGAAGGAAATATTGGTATAAATAAGAAAGAGCATCACAGCCTTGAAGCGTTATATTTTACGTTAAAACTATTCTTAACGGATATTACAGCTTCCCAAGTGGTATGGGTAATTGATGTTGAGCGACGCGTCGGTGCATGACTTTTGGAATGATTATATGAGACGAATATAAACGTTCTCGTGATCGTCAATATTTTATAAATAATGCACCATTTACATCTTCATTAATAAGAGAGTTTAACTTAATCTTATTAAAACGATAAGTGTAAGAATTTTTAGTCAAGTGCTTATTTTTGCAGTTCGTTAAATATTATATATACAAAGTAGTTAAAGTTGCTTGAAATAATATACAGAATTTAAGGTCAATGTCCCCTTTATTAGGCGTAAATAGGAAATATTTGCAATCGTAAGAAATCGCAATTATTATGTATTATCGATTAAATCAAATATTTCATCGCTTAAATTAATTGGCGACGGTACATTAATCCATTCGTTTAGTACATTTTCATAAAGAGTATTATTAACTTTATCAAAATATGTTTCATATGCATTTTCAAGAATTAAAAGCTTAAAAATTGACGATCGAGTCGGGTATTTATTACTGTATGTGAAAAATCAAATGTCAAAGTTATCGAAACGAACTATTGGCAAAAATAATTTAAAACTTTTATAAACTTCATCTTTGGCTCAAAGTTAATTTATAAAATACAACATTAACGATCTCGCAAACATTTTTGCGCCCCCAATGTTTCAACCTTATGCAGCTCAAATGACATTTGGCTCAAAATTTGCTCAAATTAATAACGATGCACATAATTGCCATTAGTGCAGCAGAATTTTCTTAAATTAATTACCATAATAAAAGCTCCGCACCCATCGACCTTTATTCTAGACCTTTAAACAATTACAAAATTATCCTTATAGCATGATAATTTCATAATTTATTAAACTCTTCTTTATTATCGGAATAATTAATTTGTTTATTCTACTACATGCATATCGAGCTTCATTTTATTATTCTAAAAATAACCGTAAAACAAACTCGGTCGCATTTATGCTTATTTATATAAGTTTGACATTATTTCAAAAAGCCGACGGTATCCTTATGTCGAGAAAATCTTTATGGCCCATGAAACAGCCTTCTAAATATAATCGCGTAAACAATCAATTTTTATTCACTTTTATTAAACGGTAAAGTAATAATGACGATTAAAAGTGATTTATTTCCCAGGGGACTGTCGACGTGACCCCTTCATTCCGTACAAACGACGTAAGGAAAAAATTTGCTCGTTCATGTCCTTTCAATGCGTGTTTCTTTCAACCAACCATTATTGCCCATCGCGCCCCAACCGCATATTTTATCGAAGCTTGGAAATATTATCAGAACGAGTTCGTCGTGGGCCCAACTGCGAGTATCGCCGCACGGCAAGAGGGAAAGGACAACTCACCAGGTTCGGTAACGATGTAGCTGACGTAGCAGCTGCCATCCTTCCGGTCCTTGAAGTCGATCTTTGCTTTACTCGGACCCTCGACGGAGACGGCCAGTGTCCCGGCCCCGGCCTCCCTCGTCCAGATATTGAACTCGCAGGGTTCGCCCTGTTCGCCTCGCTCGAGGCCGGGACCACCGGCGTGCACCCGATGAGCTCCACCGTCCCTAAGAGGGCCGACCGTGAACTGGAACGGCGAGCCCGGGATGTGGATGTCCTTGTAGCGGACCGACACCGTGTGCACGCCCAGCTCCTACGTCCCGAGAACAAAGACAAAGCGAATAACAACGTCGTTCTATCCCTCTGCTCTTCACTTCCACCCCATCCAACGACTTTTCCAATTTACCTTTGGGACAAACGCTACGGCGTAGAGTCCATCGTCGACCTCCTTAACGACCGCGTCCTCGGTAATGCCACCTGGCGATGTGACAGTCGCTGCAAGGTCGAACGACGTGATCCCCGGCATCTTGAAGGTCAGTTTGCATTGGCTGCCGACCTCGGTGATGGGCACTAAAGAACACAAGATTACGGGGCTGAGTTTTCGTGTTGTGGTTCGATCGATTGGAGCGCGGGTACCATCGTGGCACCATCGATGCTTACCCGCTTCGCGGCGTCGCTGGATCTTCTCGCGCTGACGGTTGCTGCCCTCGCCGGTGATTTTGACGGTGAAGGGCGAGCCCTCGACGTGGTGGTCGGCGAACTTGAGGTTCATGATGTAGTAGCCGGGCTCGGTGGGCTTGTAAGAGATCTTGAGGGTGCCGTCCTCGTTGTCCTTGCACTGTATCTCGGCCTTGCTGGGGCCCTCCATGGAGAGAGAGAGACCGCCGTAGCCGGCGTTGCGCGTGTCGATGGAGAAGGCGTTCTCCGCGTGCGTTTTGCCCTCCTTGAGTGCCTGGCCCGAGACCTTGACCTTCTTGGCGTCACCGACCTCGCGGTCCGTGACGTCGATCTTGAAGGGCGAGTTGGCTATGTGCTTGCCCATGCGCTTAACCGAGACCTCGTGGGCACCGGCCTCGCGGGGCGTGAACGAGACGCATATGTTGCCGCTGGGCATCTTCTTCAGGAAGCAGGGCTCCTCGAGGCCGCTCGGAGCCGTTATCGATGCATTCAGCGAGCGGACGTCTGCGTCGCTGACTTTCCCGGGCAGCTGGACCTCGGAGGAGGAGCCGACCGATATCTGGTTGCGTTTGCGGCCTTCGCCTGCGTTTTTCAACACATGTACGGCGCTTTAGTCCATGCTCGCGACTGGCGTACGTTAGATCGACGCGAAATTTTTGTAAAAAAAAAGTCGGTGTTGCCAGACACAATGCATTGGTTATTACTTGGAGACAACAGAGAGAGAGAGAGAGAGAGAGAGAGTGAGTGAGTGTGTGTGTGAAAGAGGCGGATAGGGAGGAAGTGGGGGTGGATGGTAAAATAGAGCGAGGGTGAGGATGGAATTGAGATAGAGAGAGAGAGAGGGACAAAGAGTGTTATCTTCTTACCACATACGAGCTGTTTTGGCGATCTTCGACATTATTCTCTTTATCGGTTCTTACGTTCTTTACGTCATTATCGACTTTTAATTCTTTGCGTTTTTTTTTTTTTTTTTTTTTTTTTTTTTTTTTTTTTTTTTTTGCTGAATAACAGGCGTTACGTTATTTACGTACCTCTCAATATGTGCAACGAGAGCTTGACGAACTTTTTCAAACGACACAATAACATTAACGATCAAACTGAAATCTGATAATGACTATTGAAAAAGAAACGGTCTGATTGCGATGACAGCGGGGCCGATCTGCACTGGCGACCCAAATTTATGATTATGGAAAAATGTAATTTCGCTCGATTGCGTGCGTGCGTACCCGCATTCGATAGATAGTCGCACCTAAAGTTTAATGTTGCGGCGTTGAACGTCAATACATTATAAATAATCCATTAATGTCAAAAGTTTTAAGAATGATGAAACGAAAGGAGAAGAAACATGAAAGAAAAAAAAAACTTATACACACCGACAACTGATTTCACGATGAAGATTCACTACCGCCAGGTCATATGGATTTTTAGTATGTGGCAGAAAAAAAAATTAATCTCTTTCATTAATAATAATTAATAAAAGCATAAAAGAGTTAACTGTCATTAGATCCAAATAAGTTATTTAAAAAAAGCTTTTTCGTCTCGCAAAAACTTTTTTTAATCATACGTGCCAGCAAAATCAACGTAAGCAACCTACCTTTGCAGCACGAACGTGAAACTTACGAGCTTAACTATTCGATTTTAAGGACGGCAACGTACATTATGCCATGGTATCTCACTCAATGATAAACCATATGTCGAAAGAACATTAAACGAAATCCTTTATTTGGTTATTAATTAATAAATACACATTTTCTAAACGCTAATTAACTTGGTTAAACAAGGTCACGTATAGGTTGATTATTAACATTTAATACACGATAAAGAAGATATGATCGAGTTAACGTAATTGATAGTTGCTGTTGTTGATTTGACTAGCGCGTAGCAGCGATACAACCTCCTTAAACGACGGTATCGGTCACATTAGTTATCCTACTTTGGAGATGCTGCGAAAAACAATGGTTCAATGATATCGTTGCCGTTATCAGAATACCCTCAGGTGTAGCCTGAGAAAATCCTAATAATAACAACAATATCCATGGAGCGTCGCTCACCCGTTATTTTGGAGACATAGGGGCTGCCCTTGATGTGCTTGTCGCCGAACTTCACGGAGATCTTGTACTCGCCGGGCGCCGTCGGCAAGTACGAGACGGACACGGTGCCGTCCTTGTTGTCGTGACAGGAGATCTCGGCTTTGCTCGAGCCCTCGACCGCGAGGGACAGGCCACCGGCACCGGCGCCCTTCGTCGAGATCGTGAAGTTGCTCGGCTCCCCGCAGACGCCGTAAATGAGGCCCGGACCGTAAGCGGTCACGTAGCCGCTCGCCAGCGAGTCCACGTGGAACTTGAAGGGAGAACCTGCAACGCAACCAACCTCTCACCAGCTGAACCTACCGCGCTCCTATTCCTCCTAGGCTTTAGTGGGCCCTTAGTTTCGGCAAAAAAAAAATAATAATAATAATAAAAAAAAAATAAAAATAAATAAAACCCCGGCAGCCAACCGATACGCGAATTCCCAATCTCTAAAATTAAAACGGGGATTATGTACCACCGTGGATCGTCCCGGCCTCCGTGCGAATTTCTAGAATAAATTTTCAATCGATGATTGGCAAAAAATGTTTGCCGCCGATCCACGGTCGCGCTTATAGGCTCGATCGAAGAAATTATTTTTATGTGACCTACGGCATTATCGTTATTTATTCCTGAACGCGTCATTATTCCATGGAAAAAGTCACGGGATAAATTGGTGCGCCCTTGTGTCCCTCCCTCCATTCCCCTCCACCCGCCTTACGCGCTTGGTGAGCGATCGCGAGTTGCCGACGCGCTGATTTATAATTGCCGAAGTGCGGGAGCCTTCTACGAAAAGGAGGTGAAGTGCCACTTCGACACCACTCCAGTCGCTAAAAATTTAAACCAAGAGCTTGCACGCAAAGGCCGATAATTTGTATTTAATTGGCCGATAATTATTACGCGAGCTCGTGATTTATGCCACGTTTAAGAATTTATGAATCATCGGATTATGTCCGATTGTTGGGAAGTAATTATTAATGGCCTTAGCAATAGAATGGCCCCCAAGAATTTTCTTCGCTCGCCTCCACATTCGTTAAATGCCTTAAACAACGACCTTAAAATAATCATCTCGAAGCCACCGATTGCCAATTTAATAATGCGAAAATAGATGGGCTTTGATAGGAAAAAAAAAGAGGGGTTGGGGGGGGGGGGTACGAGCTTACCTTGCACGTGCTCGCCATTGTACTTGACGTAGATCTCGTGAAGTCCTTCCTCCCGCGGATCGTATTTGATCGAGACCGTACCATCGTGGTTGTCCTCGATCACGGGTTTGTCCACTTTTCCACTCGGCATCTTCACTTCCGCTAAAACAAAAGAGCGCAACCAGTCAACACCAATTACGCGCACACACTCACTCTCTATCTATCTCTCTTACACTCTCCCTCCCCACGCTCTCTCTCTCTCTCTCTCTCTCTATCTATCTATCTCTCTCTATCTCTCTTCCTCTCACCCTCTCACCCTCTCACCCTCTTGCCCTCGTATTTTAAGAGCTCGTATTTAAGGCTGCCGCGAGTTTATAATACGCTCGACGGAAAAAGAACTGAGCGCTTTCGAAAATAAACGAAAACGAGGCGGCCAAGGCTCTCCTTCAGGCCTCTTCTCCGAAACGCTGGAGAACGATTTATGATACGGAGTCTGCTTATAATATCGAGAGAGCCAGCCGGTAGATCCGAAGCAGTTAACGGCCGCACGTTGGCAATTGGTGCGTGCGGGGGAGAGGAAATCCGATGATGGCTTATCCGTTAAAAAGATTAAGCTAGAGGTGTGCGAGCCCGGACGCGCGCTCCTTACCCAATCACCGACGTGTCCTTATGACGGGCTGCCAAAAAAAATAATACGCGTGTAATAATAAACATACACGTACGATAGAGATGAAGGAAAAAAAATCTTAACGAGTGGGCCGAGCACAGGCTCTGCATTAAATGGATAGGAGAGCAAGCGCAAGGGACTCGTACACCCGATGTTGCTTTGCTACTTCGATATTTCGCTCGATTTATATTTAGGTCGGAGCTCTTCCATTCCTTTTCCCTTTCAATTTTCCAATTTTGCCATATTTTTCCCCCTTCTCACTCGCTTTCGCATTCCTTGCCGTTAAATCGTTAAATATTAAATATACTGCCCATTCCGTTCTAAAATCCGCAATCTACACTTGCAATTACTTTATTTTATTCCCGCATATAGGATGCATCGGGGCAGCATTTTATACAAATGACAATTTTATTTTTTTATCAAACGCCGTGTCCTTAGTGCCGACCTGTACGAAACTACACAGAGGTATCCGTATTAAAATAGAGGCTCACAGGTAATAATACATTTGGATACGTAAGAACATTGCCATTTCGTATGCTCTACTCTGGTCCATGTAAAGCTAAAAACGACAAATATAAATAATTTTACAAAAAAACTTTATTTAAATTGAGCGAAAAATACCGTCGGAACTAGAATTTAATTAATTATTCTAACTATATGCCTAAATTATATTTATTAAAAAATATTTATATATATATATATGTGTGTGTGTGTGTGTGTGTGTGTGTGTGTGTGTGTGTGTATTACGCTACAGAAGACTAAAATGATACGTTAACGAGTGAATACTTTAATAATTATTCACGTAATACTAAACGAAATATGTATATGGCCAAATAAAACGTATAATCAAAAATCCGACAACTGTTAATGCTAAATGAATGCACTAATAAATCATGATATTATGGAACCGTTAATGCATAAACTGTATTTCAAAAGAATTTCTCTTTACGTAAATTTAATAAAAAAACAAAATAAAAAAAAAAGTAAATAAATAAATAAAATATAAAAAAAAAAGTAACAAACACGCAATTTTGCAATTTCGGGGGAAAAAAAATACGGACGAGCGTTATAACATCAAACACATATGCCATTGAGAATTTCAGCCGTGCGTACAATGTATTTTTACACGAAGCCAAAATTGGTTTATTCTACATTGAGTACTTTAGCAATAATAAATTAATTTTATTGAAACCCTTAATCAAGAGATGATATCTCCTCGTCACTCAATAGTTAACATAACTATAATTATGCACAAACCTTGATTTCAATGCTTTATTATTATTGTTATTGTTGCTGTTATTATTATTATTATTATTATATAGAAAAAATTCGATTTATAATTACAATTATTACGAAAAGCGTGTGCCTAGACTGTCCGTGGATACCGTAAATCATGATTTACAATGTTCGGGAGCGCATTGTAACCAAACACCTTAATAAATCCTTAGTCACCAAATACATTGCATGGCACTGCTAGATCGTGATCGATAACGAGTGAATTCTCAATTAAAACTAAGAAAGGAAAAGCAAGCAATGAGACGAAGAACAATGGTGAAGGGGAGAGACAGGGAGAAGTAGCAATGAACGCATGTCCAACCTGCCCGTGTACGAATGTAAAAAAGACTCTGTAAAATGAGAGGAGCGATGTCGGACTCGCGGATCGTCCCCTCGTCTTCCTCCGGCAGCCGATCCTCTTGATCGAACGAACTCTTGATTACGTAGCAAACTGTTCCGCCCTCCGATCTATCCAAGTCACTGTAAGTCACCCCCTTAAGAAGACTTTTGTAGAACGTCGACAGATCCTGCCAGGCGTCTGTGAGCTCCACGTCTGACATCTCCTACACGTTCCTTCAAACCTTCGATTCCTATTCACCGATCTTCTTCCCTACCACCGCTTTATCCTAAAGATCTCCGCTCCTCGCAGTTACGCGCGCTCCCGCAAACGACCAATCGATTTGCTTCCAAAGAACTGCGTGCGATCAACGAATCACATGACTCCCAGGACGCGGGTGTAGAACCGATTCGCCTTAAACTTCGCGCAAGCTGCGGTACGATGGCGATATCACGAAATTGAGACGCTGATCGACTCAGATCGTGTAGCAAAGAGTATGGGATGTCGTCGATACCATTCGTGGGCGCATCTCCGAGCAGACTGAGGATTGAACGATCCCGCTCTAAGATAGTATCGAAAGACGTATGGACCGCCCATTAGCGGCAGAAGCAGCAGCCATGCTCCCGAATTCTTTTTTCCAGCTTGGCGACGAAGGGAGACCGAGTGAGAGGGAGGGCGTGAGACGATGCGTGAGACCAGGCGCAAGCAATATATCAAACGGTTCGGGCTTATGTTTATTAGCAGGCCACGGCCCCGACAGGTCCTCATATTCCCGTATGCGCAAGCGCATGAGGGCGATGAAGACGCGCCTCGCGCAACGGCCGCATTCGCCGAAGCGAGTCATTTGTCCAGAGTGGGGGGGGGGTCGATTTAATCTCGTGCCTGACACTGCGATGCTCGGCTCGATAATCGCGCTAATCGCTGAAAATCGAGGAATACCTGACTTTTCAATGTCGATCTTCGGCCAAATATTTAGCGGGAAAAGCTCAGCTCGATCGATCGAGTGTCGATTTTCGTATAGAGTCCCCTTCTATCGCTGTCAATGCTTAAGTTTTGTTAATGTTTTGTTGACTACTACGCCACTGGAAAATGTAATGCCAATGCTTGGATCTGTGCACCCTCTACGCGCGTGGGTAGGAAAAGGAAATTGCACGAAATGTCCGTGCCGTGGTGCATGAAATATTTCCATAAATAATCATGTGCGGGAGCGAAAGGAAATTGACGTTAAAGCCCATTCGTAATTTTGGAGTATTTTATAAATTTGAAAAATAATTTTCACATTACTGATGCGACCTAAACACAAGATTATGTTTTTAATTATTTGCTCTCTTGCTTTCTACTCGTAAGATTCTCGTATATTTATAATGAAAATGGCTTGTTAAATCTCCGTTTCATACTTTCTAAATTATCGTAGAATAAAGCAATATGTGTTTTGAGAGTCTCGTGTATATTGAAAATTCTGGTAAATGCAGAAATTCCTTAACGATAAAGATTGAAAAATTTATTTCACTCAGCACATTGAAAGTCGTTAATTCTATAAGAGATCTATTTAGCTATAAAAGCTCAGGAAAAAAAAAAAAAAAAAAAAAAAAAAAAAAAAAATTAAAGAAATATATTTTACAAAAAAAAAAAAAAAAAAAAAAAAAAAAAAAAAAAAAAAAAAAAAAAAAAAAAAAAAAACTGTTGATTGTATACGATGAGACGTCAATGTAATGCCGAAATTTAGGAGTCTTTATCTCCTGCTATTTTTACTACTTAAATAGTGTCCGTGCATCCTCGATGCTTTCATCATTTCATCGTTAGCTCCAACAATTTTGCCGAACCATGAAAGATTATGTAGTGTCGATTGTCAAGCGTGAAGCCGTCGAGATGAGGAGCATTCCCCTTCGAAATTTTCGGAAATCGTGGAGGCGAAAAAGTGCCCCTGATTAACGATCGACTTTTGCCGAGGTGTCCGCGGATTTTTTCATCGACTCGGGGACTAAGGTGCGTCGGCCTCGCAACAGCGCCTATATTTTATCGAGGCTGCGCGTCCAAGGTTTTCCCAACGTTTCCTCATTTATCCGCGATTAATTCCGAGCCGAGGTGGCGGTTTCTTGGGCGTTGTCCCGCCTCCAATGGTAATTGGATCCTCGATTATTCAGCGCTATTAGCAGAAATGCTCGTGCTCGAGTGAAAGCGCACTTGTATAAATATTCTTTTGCAATAAACGTCGATGTGAGGCCAATTTGAGATTGCTGTGTTAAGGTGTAGTAGATGACACTTGAGATTTACTAGAGGGAGCTTAAAATACGGCTTATTTGCGTTCAGCTTTACTCTTTCCAAGTTAAATGCTGAATTCTGCTGCATTTGGGAATACTACGCCGACGACGTGGCCAATCTGTAATCCGTTGCTTTTTAGTGCTTTGCAAAACAAAAACAAAAACAAAAAGAAAAACAGAGAAAGACAAGTCAAGCTACCCTTTAATTGCATTGTTAGGACATCAATAATGTAATATACTTGACCCAGCAGAAAAAAAAAAAAAAAAAAAAAAAAAAAAAAAAAAAAACCCCCGTCTATAAATACGTCGGATTAATAAGCGTTTATTATATTTTCCGATTTAAAAGAAATTATTTTAAGAGATATTTATGCGTTTGAATCAAAAGAATGATCGAATGTTTAAAACCACGATGCTTATAAACTATTCTTAATGCCTTCATTGATATTTGAAAGATTGTGACTATTGTAAAAATAAGATATTATTAAACACTTGGAATTTGAATTTTTTAGATAAAATTGAACACTTTACAAACGCTTTTAAGCGAATAAATCCAAATACCAGTGAAGTTTAGCGTATTTCAATGATATAAAATAATTGTATAATAGTCGGCTGTGCTATGCACACCCTAAATAGCTGTAATATTTAATTATCTAAGATGTTAATGTCGAATCATTAAAATAAAAATAAATTTTTGATAAAATACCGTGCACGTCCTTTAGATATTTAAAGATAAATTTGAGCAAATTTATTGTTTGTTGATTATTCATTTAAAGACAATAACAAGTATGACGTTTCTGCCATTGATATTTTAACAAAAATCATTCAATACTAAACGATTCATGATACTTAAACAACAAATAATAATATTCTTATATTCTTCATTCGAATACGTATTTGCATAAAAATTGTCTGCAACATGAGCGATTAAACATTATATGTCGATTAATATGTCCATTTATTAACGTGGGATTGCTAAGATAAGAAAATACATTGAAATTCACTTATTTAGAATATTATCAATGTATTACATTGAATGCAATTAAACGATTATTTAAATGTTACAATTTACATACAAATTATATTTAAATATTACATTAAATGCAATTAAACGGTCCAGTTGATAATTGCCGATTTATCACAGGCTCGAATTAATTATTTAACATTAACGAAATATTAAGTTCTGTAACGTACTGCATTCGTGTGATTGTTACATTACTATTACAATTACAATGTAATAAGTCTTTATAGTAAATACTTGTGCATGAAGCGATATAAAAGTCGTTCAAGGAAGAATTACCTAACGCTATAGGTAATTTATTGCTTATAACGCCACTGTAGCGGTAACTTGGTAAAATCTTATGGAAGAAAAAATCTATTGAAGAAAATATCTTTTGGAAGAAAAAAGACGAGTCCTTACAACAATTGTCATTGGCAGTGTCGTTTAAATAAAATAACAAAATGACATTTGCCACGTTGCTTGTGCAAATAAAGTTTGAGCATAAAGAATCGTACAGAGAGAGAGAGAGAGAGAGAGAGAGAGAGAGAGAGAGATATGACACTTGTCATATCTTGTAGACCATCTTGTAGAAATAAATATAATTATATACAAACACGAGTCATTATTTATAAACACTATTAAAATAAGAAAAATATAAAATAATATTTTTAAATTGCGACTTTGACACAACTTTATAATAAGCGTCTGCTCGAGTTGGAAGTGCCAAGTGAATGAGTCAGTCATCGTAAATAAATTATTAATATCACATCTAAATATTGAATATTTTGTTTAACACGCAAAGTTAAATTAATGCGTGCATATTACGATTCGAAAATAAAAACAGAGAATAAAAGCACAACGCGTCCAAAATTCCAAGAGGGATTTTCAATTCGAGAATACTCCCGGTCTACCTCTTGGTCGATAACGTCACAATGCGGTTTATTTAACACCGACCTCGGCGATAAAAAAGGATAAAATAAGCGTAACACTCACATGTAACTTTTCCGCTGCCGATAGATGGGGAGGGGACAGGTATGGAGCTCAATCGAATAACGTTGAAGGACTTGGATTCCTGCTTGGTCGTGCGCTTCGTAAAAGTCGAGCTTTCCTGTACGCTCGAGCTGTGCTGCACGAATTGCTCCTCCTGGCGATCGTTAGTCCTTCTGCCCCGTCGAGTTTTATGACTAGTCGTGCGCTCCCTGTACTCCTCCGACGCCTGAAATATTTTTCACGATGCGTATGACGATGTGGCACATTCGTTTTATGAATGCATGGAAATGTTATCGGTTAGCGTGAGGATGAGGAGGGTTAGAGCATGAGGATTATTGTTTGAGATTGTCGTCTCTTGGTGCACGAGCGCCGAGCGTCTTTCGAGACTTTATTGCACAAGGAAGTGGCGAACATTTTTAAATTCATTCCCTTGGCATTGATATTGCGGAGATTTGTGTGGAGTCGGGATATCGGTGATGCAATTGGGCGCTCGTTAATTCGGCAGCAAGAAACGCCAATTCCGATCGTCTTCTTTTACGTTAAATGTAGGGCATCGCGATTTATGGCTTTGTAAATTATAGAAGCAAATCCAGCTATGAATTAGAAATGTTTTCACGAATTTCGTCGCTTAGTCTATTTTATCATTTCAACGAGGAATTCCATCCTCGTTGAGCCTTGTCAAGGCCTATTAATATTATTTTTATTTATTTATGTATTTATTTATTTATTTATTTTTATTTTTTTTTTTTTTTAATAATGTTTATTGCAAGAGTTATTATCGTTTTCAAAATTGGGAGAATTTTCATAGTATTGTATTTGTACGTTGAAATTTAATTTAGAAAAATCATTGGAGAGGTATTATCGATTATTAGACAATTTATTAAAAAAAATATGCAAAGCATATAAAAAGATATAGCGTTGCGATTATAAATAACTCCAAGAATTTTGTATTATTTGTCGAAAAGTCATGGGTGTAATTAATTTGAAAGATTTCGAGAGAAATTCTCGATCAATCTTTATGTTATTAACCATAGCGCTAAATACAACTGACATTTCTCATTTATAAATATATAAGTTTAAAAGCAATATAATTGCATATAATATAAGGGGTAATACAGCAATAACTTTGAAGATACGATTTTAGAGAAAAATGATTTTTCGAATAAGATAACAGCGATCGTAATTGTCATATTTATTTGAAGCGTGAAGGAAATAGACGGATAATAACACTATTATTATGTTTTAATCTAACATTGACCGACGATACAATTAGTTCATCGCCATTTTGCGAATTGGGTCATGAGAAATTCTTTGCCATATCTCGATGACGTCTCCATTAAAATAGGCAAAAAATCATATTCAAATTAAAAAAAAAAAATGTCATTCTTCTATTTCCCATACGAATACCTGATATTACTTTTTTTTTTATGTACAAAACAATGGCAATCGTCATTTGTTCAAGAAGGAGGATTAGGAAGAGGACGTGGGAGAAAGAGCTTTCGTTATTGTTATGAATCAGTTATAATTCGAGAACAATAAAATCAATGAGCTGAAATTCAAGATGGATATTTAATCAGGAAAGCACGAATACGCGTGGCATAGGTCCCATAGGATATCATATTCGACAATCGAGAATGCAATAATGAAGCTCAAAAGCCATGATAGCGGAGGTAATGAATGGAAATAGGTTGAAAGGCAAAAGTTTAGCGCGATTAAATGCGAACGGTAGGTGACGAGCTTTGCGCGAAAAGATGTTATTATTTTTCTCTATAAGCTCCTCCACCCAAAAATCCCTGCATAAATACATTGTAGCATTCGTAAAATCTCAATCACGACTACGTAACAATTTAGATGGTTTTTTTTACGGCGAGAATGTGGGAGTTGGGAGGTAGGCGGATAATGAAAATCATCGCGAGTGACACATTCTCCAAGTGGAGTGTGCGTAAAGTGTACGCGGAGCTCTGGTCTTACGCCAGAGGGAGGCCTACGGATTTTCATACGCAACCTCGTGACAGAGTCGAAAATGGAAAATCCTGTACGCGCTATGTAAAGTAACGCAGACACGCAGAATCGCGGGCAATTTGCAATCCCGGACACGGCAGCTGCGCCGTCGTCTCGCACTTTTGATGGACCGCTCGACTATTTCTTACGCCCGAGTAGTACTCACTGATGCCACCCAAATATCTTCCGGCACCAGCACTTTCCACCTATCGACTCCATTCATTATTTACGCATTCTCAGCCTTAGCACGTAACCTCACTATCCACGCGCAGGGGGGTGGGGGTTGGGGTTGGTGGGTGAGGGAGGGGGGAGATAAGAGCGGAAGATCGTCGGATCAGAAGCACTAAGATCGTCACAAGAATTTTATTAATCGGCTACTTCGCTCAAGATAAAGCTAAGCTATCGCACTTATGTGGCTAAGGGCGGAAAGGGTTGGTGCGAGGGAAAAAAAAAAGTCGAGCTCCACCTGCCCATGCCATACCCATGCGTGCGATCTCTTATCGCAATAAAAGCAACTTACCCCTAATGATCGATATCTCGGCTTTTTATTTAATCACCTGAACTCGCGGAGAAAGATGCGCGTCTACGATCTCTGCATCGTACAGTGATTGTGCGCTCTTACACGACAATGCGAATGCAAAAACGACGCGCTCGAGCTGGCTATAATAGTTTTGCGCGACGCGGCTAATCTCTCTCTCTCTCTCTCTCTCTCTCTCTCTCTCTCTCTCTCTATCTATCTATCTATCTTCTCCTCCTCGTACCACAGGCCCGCCCCCGCCCATCGTCCACCCCCCGTTCTCTCCGCAGGAGGGGATATGGCGAGTTGTCCGAAGCATTGTGTCGAGTGGGTAAACAAGCGCAGGAGGTGCGGAAGCGCCCGAAAATACATGCCGCTCGGTCGCTGGTGGCGCTGGCCTTGGCACATTCCTCCCCACGTCATTATCCAAGCGTTATTTTGCGTATTAACGCGGCGATTCTGGCGGACATCCTTTAGCCGGCTAATAACGCGTGGCCGCGAAACCGCGTACGGCCTCAGCTCGGCGCCTCGTGTCGTGTCGAACGTGTCCACGCGTTTTTCAGCCTCTAATAATAGACTGAGATGGCGAAAGCCATGTAGAGTCGCGTTTTCTTAAGCGACGCTTCGCGCAAAAAGGGTCCTCGCGTACACATGCCGATCTGATAGGCGTACCACGGTGGGAGTCCCCACGGCTATTTTAGAAAAGTGTGAGAGTCGCAGCTGTTGTGCTAGCGTTCCCCCTGGTGGACGAGGTAAAACATCAAAAGGAATAGAGATATCGCTGTAGCTTATATGGTGGATGACGTTCTTTATGAAATCCTTGTCGCGAAGGATTGGAAGGAGGCGAGCTGTAAACGCTACCTGAGAATAGATCGCCTGCTAAGCGCGCGACAAGAGATTAGAATTGCTTCCGTGAATTGGCCGAATTATGCTGATTTTAATCGTACGTCGTCGAATGAGATGAAGTACGCGAGATGTATCTTTAAGCCACATTTTCTCGATCTTATCGCGTATTTAATGAGGCAAAGTACGCAAAGAATATTCTAATTGCTTATTGACGATTCAAATTCACGTATAGGCGCGAGGTTCTACGATTAGGCGATACGAGAGATTTTTAACCTGATAATCGATAATTTAACATTGAATATCTGTTAGATTGCGATTATAAGGTTTTGCGGCTCGTATATTGCCAAACATTTAAGCAATTCGACGAGTTAAGAAAATTTTCAGTCCAATGCTTTCTTAAATGCTAATCTCAACCATCTAACAATGATAAGATGTTCGCTACGTACATTTCATCTTAAATATGCGATGGACTTGCTTGACGTATGAAAAACAAATAGAAATGACAAGGAAAAACATGCATACAGATTAGTGTGTTTTATATAGATGAATTTTTCACGAGTAAGACTTCAACAATTTAATGAAAAAAAAAAAAAAAAAAAGAAGAAAAAAAAAAGTAAAACAATTCACATTGTAATATGGTTTCGATATTTCAACTAAATATTAAAACACCTTTTATATGCAAATCCATCGTATGAAGTAATAAAAATGAACAAACACATTATTTGTTCATTTGTGTCATAAATATTGAATTGTAACTGTCAAATTAATGCGATAAACAAGTGAGAACAACTATTATAAAATAAGAAACTATGCGAATAAATGTGACAGAATAAAGATATAATTTTGAAGAGTCGTTTGATTGACGTAACGAAAGAGGAATGATTTATGAGCGATAGAAGGTAGAATGTAAAATATAAATTATATTATTTCAATATTGACAAATTATTTATTATTTTCATAGAAAGCGTCTTGAGACGAAGAAAATAATTTATTACAGCACTCGATTGTTATCAAAATTTATGAATGAATAAATTTATAAAAATTAGGAAAATTTTTTTTCTGTCATTATTAACAACACACGTTCAACATTTAGAGTCAATGCGAATTTCGTATAATGAAGTGCGATGAAGAAAGTGCGTTTAAAGCTAGAAATTTTTTTTAAATCGAATGCCAATATACAGTATATTCATGTATATATCATCATATTACATTTCATGCACTTATTTTATTTTTAACTAAACAACTAATAATTACATCAAACGAAGAAGTTATTTAATATTATTAGGGAAAATAAACTAGTATCGATAGTATTTATTGCTAGAATGCTTCTAGACGTTTAATTACTTGCTATATTTATTGGTGCACGCGCGCGCGCGCGCACACACACAAACACAAAATCATGACTAATTTTGACTAATTCGCCTTTCTCTAATAAAACAGAAAAATAATTAAAATTTCTATCTCGAGCCGTGCTTTATAAATATTACAAAAGTAATAAATATCTTAATATCTAAATAACACTATTTGAGTTCTATCGTCGAATTCTAAGAATCGAAATTTTATTTTAGACGAGTATCACGGTATTGATAGTTACGAAAATTAAATAATACTTTATCCGTGTCGTATTTTCAATGTCTCGGCAATATTTTAGCCGAAATATATTCGAAATATTGCATTACATTGCTTTTATATTTATTTTCATACATATCTAAATAAAAGCAATTGAAATATAAAGTACCGCGAATTATTTTAAGATTTACATGTAATTTGAGCATAAGAAGTTTATTTCGACAAAATAAAATCACAACTATAAAAATAAAGCTGAAATTCTTAGACGTAATATTTGTTTTCGGTTTTCTTGGTATAATAAAATATTACGTAACATGGATATTCGAAAGTTTCTTTTTAACTCTTTTGTATTTCATAAAGTACTGTGTAAATGTATTGCACGTAACAAAAATGTGTGGCCTTTTCCCGAGGACTTCGTTCTAGCAATAAATAGCCAAATGTCCGATACAAATTCAACAATACATAATATGTTCACCACGAGCATATTATAAGAAAATATTAATTTAAGGTAACTAATACTGTCGTTGCAAATAAGACGAAAATAAGAACCGATACATGAAACTACGTCTAACACATAAAATTCAGCAAAAAGTATACATGCGCGGTCTGTGCGTTCGTTGTCAAATTGAGGTGCGACGTTTAATTTAACCAGAAACATTAATTCAAAGACTGTCTCAATGTCCACCCACTCTCCGACTTTGCTTGGATTTCTCTTGCTTATAAATTTGGGAAAGCTTGAGTCGAACTTAAAATAGTCCACGAGCCCCTTCCTTCATCTTACCCTCCTCGCCACGCACATACACTATCTGTCTCATTCTCGTCATATCCCACTCTCTTTCTCGCTTTTTATCTCTTCCTCCGTCATCTCCTCTTACCTCCTTACTCTATATATCCATCTATTTATCTAAATATCTATTTATCCGTCTCTTTCTCTCTCTCTCTCTCTCTCTCTCTCCCTGTTTATACATAAATAAATAAATATAAATATATATATATATATATATATATATATATATATATATGTATATTCCCTCGCTCTGCTGTCGCCGACGCCACCGTCGTAAGTTGCGAGCTTGGCTGGACACGAAGCGCGGGATAAGGTTTCAAAACAACCGCGTACGACAAGATCTTTAACGACTGACAATTAACCGCTTTAAAAATCCTTTGCCAGATATTTAATCAACCGTGCTCTTTTGAAATCCTATATTATTTATAACCAGTTGGTTTGTTAATCGCGGGCTTATTTTTATCGAAATGGTGTGATGGAGCTTGAGGATGCTCGAGTTGAAGCACGCATGCGCGCGTGGTCACAAATTAATAACGATTCGATCAATGAATGGGACTGGACGTAAGGCCAAGAGATGGGCGAATAAGGTCTTGTTGCCTCGTCAATAAAGAAACCTCCCACCGAAAGGGCGGCGAAGAAAGCGCGCGCGACCACAGCTGCTTCGTCGATAGTAATAGTTAAGGTGATTTAACGTCGCGCGTCGCCCAAGAGCGATGATTATTAGAGTAAACAATCCGTCAATGTCCGGGCGCCGCTCGACCGTTTCTACTTAAGCTGCCTGCCCGCGGTCTGACCAACGCCAAGCGAATTCCACTGCCACAATCAAGGCTCCACGGCCGATTCGCGACTTTTCCCTCATGTCGCTTTTCTTTATTTCTAATTATAATCCGTGTCGTGGATGTTCACGCGAGCGTGCACATACCGCGAATAGCTGACTATTTAATTGCATCGGACGTATACTGGCTAAACGAATATCTCATCGCTCGTCCCGTCAGCCGAATTCTTAGCTTCGCTAGTTAATGTCGTATTTTATGTAAAACAACAACGAATAATGATAGAAGTAATGTGAAGCCAAAGGAATCTTGCTTGAGGATTAAGTAGAACTAGAGGATTTTCATTCGAGGTGGCGGTGGAAGAACCGCTTCATAAAATTGGCCGCACTTCTGCGACAAGATATTCAATTAGTTTCGCCTATTTTTCAAACTCCCAGACTTGGATACGCGAGATCATTTCAAGTTTCAGCTCTCTCGCTAATTGACTCTTTCTACAATGCAAAACGCTCGCCGAATGTTTTAAATCAAGATAACTCGAATATTCTGAAGGGAATTTGACTTTGCCGCTAGATATTCGGTCGTAGTCATTCATAATATGCTGTGACGTAGGGAGTCTCCCTCGGTCACCTGTTTGTTATTGCGGCGTCAATGACAAACTGTTTGAGCGCGCTATTAAAAGGATCAAAAATTAGAGTCACGTTTCACGAAGATGGACGTGACGAGAAGGTTGAAGCAGAGGAAGTAGAAGAAAACGAGTGGAAAAAGGTGTGGTCCAAGTAGCAGAGATTGAAATAGGAGAAGTAAAACAAGAAGATAACGACGACGATGATGACGACAATGATGACGACGATGATGCTAACGAAGATAAAGTAATAGCAGTAGTAGTAGTAGTAGTAGTAGTAGTAGTAGTAGTAGTAGTAGTAGTAGTAGTATTCACAGAAACCGTAGCAGCAACAGCAACAGCAGAGCTAGGATGGGAGCGCGGAGGCGAGAAAAGTTTGGGAGAGTGGGGGCTCGGACCACTCTGCTCCACACCACCTTCACCATGTTCAGATGGACTTACTTGCTGGACCACTTGTCAATTTATGACCACCGAGCCTGACGCGCCTCCGATGAGCCTTCGAAACGAACTGTGTCGCGCTGGAGGCTTCACCACGTTTTCCGGCCTACCGCGTTCGCCTCTATAGTTAGCGGCTCGACTACTCGCCTCCCCCTCCCCCTAGAATCCACAGAGCCGCCAACCACCGCCTCCCCCACTGAATCGAGAACAGCCCGGTCCTCGCAACAACCCACCCGCGGATCGAGATATTTTAGATTGTATGGCGCGACAGCGATAGACGAGTGACGTGACGTGTAGGTAAGATCCCTTCGCCCGATGGCGACGTGCTCCCGAAAGCAGAGCCCCGACTATTTGCGGACGATTAGCTTTTATTATATCGGGCGAGCCGCGACGATGTCTTTATGATCCTCGGCTTTTGTCTCATTAGCGACGAAGTCGATTTCATAATCGCCCGGAGTGTTGGTCCGATTTTTTCGTTCGATCCGCCGGTGACACTTGATCGAAATGACAAAATTCCGATGTCTCACCGATTTTATTGTTGCTTCAACATCATTAAGGACTATTTGGATGAATTAGGACAAGCTTTGTTCTTCCTTCGTTCGATTTCTCATGTATTTTAACAAGTACTTAACTAGCACTACTTAAGAACTCGTAAATCTAAATTTTTCAGAGGGTTAAACATGCGCGTAAGATAGTTGCTTATAGGCATAACTTTACCATTTGACAATTTAAAAATGCCTTATGAAGGGTGCGCCATAAGTTTTGCACATTCGTTTATTTTTACTAAAAAATAAAAAAGAAGAAAAGAAGAAAAGACATATTTTGCTTGAGTTGGAAGTGAGAATGAGAACAAAAAAATCACGTTAATATGTTGTAACGTTTGAAAAATCTATTGGGATTCAATTAATAAGTGTTTATATACCTAAGTCACATTGAATAAGAACAATGTAAAAGAAAATTTATAGCTTCGATTTTCTTATACATTATTTTCACATACATTTTTAATAATGCGAAATATCTTGTAAAAATAACTTGATTTTCTGCCAGAATGTCAAAAGCTTCTGTCTGCGTGAAAAGAATTTTAGTTAACAACATATTTCATGTTAATAAACGATTCATTTCATAGAAGTCTGAAAAAACGCGTAAATAAAAATTCATCAACGTTATTGTCTAATATATTTGAAGACATAATGTTGAGAACATGTTTTGTTCAATATTATTCAATATTACTCGATGTAATAATACTTATTATTACGGGAACGATTATTCGTTATTTATATTTATTAGTATAGGATAGACATTTTATAATGATAAATATAAAAATCTGAAATTAGGTAGTGCCATATGTTGACTTTGAAATTAGAAAAAATATTTATCTAAATATTTTTGTGTGTCATAGCTTATCTAGGATATAAAAACTGTATCGACATTAAAATTACATTCTATCAGATAACATAGCACATTTATAAAATTGATTCAAAATTGAAAAAAGGATTTCTTTCGACATAAAAAGGTATTTATAACGTTCTTGTTTATCATAATTAGAATATTAAAATGTTGAAATGATGCACAAAGTATGAGTAAAAACTATACAACATTGCACGAATATCAGCAACGTTTTTTAATTTTTTTTTTTTTTTATGATATACTTCGAAATTCTGAGTTATACATTTTGTAAGACAATCGTAAGAATGCGATATAAGCATTACTGCATTTACGTAGTAAAGTATTTGTGGGTGTGTGCGTGCGTTTATTTGTTTGTTTGTGTGTGTGTGTGTGTATATATATATATATATATATATATATATATGCATGTATAATGGAAAAATATAGATTTAAAATCATGACTCTTCAAAGTTTTTCTGTATTCTGTATCCTCCCATTCCTCAAAACCAAATGCTTTTAAGACAAAAGTTCGACAATTACTTGTACTTATTCTCATTATTCCACGTTTAAAAGACGACGACAAAGGCGACACATTCAAAAGTAAAAAAAAACTTCAACTAAATTCATAATAAAATAACGGAAACGTAACGCCGTTTCGTGATGAAAGCGCCATTTATATCAATTAACCAAACTTGTACTCACGGTGAAGGTGTAAAGGCCGTTGGGGATTATCTGACCTCCGAATTTGATGTTCAAAGTATAATCTCCAGCATCGGCTACGGTATAATAAACATCAACTGTGCCATCTGCGTTGTCCTGAATATCAATATCAACGTCTTCGCTGTAAGAAGAAAATGACTGTACTAATGATGACGTCGTGTCTCTCTCTCTCTCTCTCTCTCACTTTCAAATATTTATAAATAAACTGTTTATAAAAATTTATGAATTTACATTGCCAATTTTTAATTTATACACATTGTTAATATTGTTCTTTTCAACACACTAACATTCAAAATTTCACTATCAGTCACTATAAAAATCTTTTAATTAGTTTTATTGAATTTCATTATGAATGTACGGTTGCTTTACCAATTCTGTCTAAAATAATACATTGCGTAATGTTGTAAAAAAGAGTATAAAAACTTCATATGGAATCTTTATTTCAACGCTTTATTTATATAACAGTGCATTGTGTTTGGTATTTTATAAGCTTTATCTTACGCGAATACGAATGAATTCATGAACATGCACCTTCACAATGTTAATTTAAAGTTCACAGACATATTTCTAGAAAATTGTATATTTTTATAACTGATGATTTCAGCAAACGTAGAGGCCAGTAATGTAATCACCTTCAAATTCAACGTGAACGTATAAAAGAAACTTTTTAGGTGCGAAGTAAACCGCAATCAACTTAAAACATTTAGATTTCACATTTTAAGAAATTTTCAACGACCAGTGTACTTTCGTTTAAACGTAATAGTTAAAGCTGACGGTTATTTAAATGATTTAAACATTACCTTTAGATTACGGTAATACGAATATCAGTAATCCGAATAATAATAAAATATCAGAAAGCGAATATCATGGATAAATAACGATGCAGACTAATGTGTAGTAGTGCAACTAGTGCTAATAGTATATAAGATACTCAATGTTAAAATAAAATTTTGATTATCCAAGGAGCGATGCTGAAATAAATTGATATCGGTATTCCGCCGATAATTATGCTTTCGTACAATTGCATTAGCAATTCCGTTCGTTTTAAAAGTATCGTCTCACAACGACCATTACAACACTTGCACACAACGCCAACATACACCATCAGCTTCCGTCACCTTTAAACACATCGATCCCTTTATCAACTAACAGCTCAAATACATAAATAACATTAATAACAATGGCAATTATTGTATTATCGCTGTTTTGGTGTTAATGTTGATGTCGGTGTTATATTGTTGCATCCGCTGTCGTTGCTATGATAATCGATGAATTTCGAGTGAATAATACAAAGGCCAAAGAGTTTATGGTGAAAGAATGAGACGAGAGACCGTGCCGCTGCCCACGTAACGACCAAACACGGTAAAAACTCTCGAGCTCAAGAGGGAGTCCGAGATAGGCGAAAAGCGCGCGCATTGAAATTTTTGCCACCGAATAAAAAGCGTACGCAGCGTGATAAGCGCACAGGAATTGAAGAAAGGAGGCTGTAAAAGAAAAGCCATCGTCGCGTCGAACTGACAGTGGAATTCCGAGCATGTGATGGGAGCACGCCGTTAACGGGCTTAGTGTCACTCCCGGCCTACAAGGTTTTAAAAAAATCATCGCGGATTCGGCCGCGTCCTTGAGGTGCACTCTGACGTAGGAATCTACCCGTAAGAAGCCGCGCGAGCACTTTCGATGTTAAGCGAACGGACTCCGAAACTCGTGGAAAGAGGCCGGATGACGAGTTTCCTCGGGGCTCGGCGTCGACGATTCGATTGTGCGCGCTCGACAGCCGCAGCGGTTCCGGGCACCGACTCCTGCTTAATTGATCGTCGAGATTCATCTATTAGATAAATATTAGATAGGAGAATTTTTATTTCTCCTCCCCCCCCCCCTAATGCGCGTGGCACTGTTATGCTGTGACGGAACAAGTGGGCGGATAGAGTTAGAGATAGATAGAGATAGAGAGAGAGAGAGAGAGAGAGAGAGAGAGAGAGAGAGAGAGAGAGTAAGTACGAGAGGGACAGGTGAGGTTAGGAGGGAGCAAGTAGGGAGAGAGCAATTAGGTGATTGGTAATAGGTAAAGGAAGTCGATCGATAGGTTAGGGCACTTTTGCCTATACGTCGATTGACGCGAACGAGATGCTACCGAACGATGTAAAGTCGCTTCGGTCTAAGCTCGAAACGGGCCATTTTGAGCTTTGATTCTAAAGTCCTATGAATTAGAGGAGTAATATAATTGTTAAAGATGTCGATTAACATTAGAGAATAATTTAATCACTTAGGGTAGCTCCTCTTGGGCACCCATCAAATATACGAATAAATTATTTTCATCTTGTTAATGGGCTTGTAGTGTTTGATTTTGACGATTTTAGTCACTTAATATGGCCGTTGAAGTTCTGACGAGCCAAAATCATGGTAATTGACGCGAATCATTTACACTTGATAATTTACGAGAGTCGGTGAAATTCATTATATAAGTTGCATATTTACACGTGGCAATTTGTTGACAAAATAGCCATATCGACGAAAGATACGCCCTTAACCGTAGAAATTTTTTTTGAAAGATAACGTTCCTTTTATATAATATTTGATAAATATCTACCAGTAGAGCGCAGCATTCAGCGCTTTTGTGAGAATTTTATCTTGAGCGTGGACTCGTCAAATCGATCGTTCGCTTCAGCTATAATTCTATACCTACGTATCTCGAAAATGGGAATAACTACATGAATAAATCGCTAATTTGCGAAGAAAGACAAATCTTACGATAAATAAGCAAATAATCGGGATTAATCTACACGGAATAAAGACGCGTGTAAATGGAAAAAAAAAAAAAAAAAAGGAAGTCTATTTTTAATGATTGAATTTGTATTTTAACTGTAGAGTCTACATGAATTGGACATTTTAAAAACTGAACGAAATTTATAATATCGCCTGCATTAAACTCATGCCAAAAGTCCAACAGTTTTAATAATTTATCGTATATAGGCTTTCGGAAAATAATTTGCATTAATTAACAGATCATCGTGCTTAATTCTTAAGTATTTTTAAGTTTAGTAACCGCTTGTTTATTCACTTGCTTCGATTATCTCGAGCGAGAAGATTTATGGCTCAGCGAGAAACGTCTCTAAATCAAAAGCAAAAGCGTGTAATAGAAATGAGAGGCGCGGTGGAAATTACGAAACCGAGCGCTATTCCATCCGAGTATTCTTACTAATTATTGGCAGAGCCAATAAGAGATTCCAAACGGCCACTCCTCGACGAGACAAGCTTTTACCGTACAAGTCGATAAATGTCTCGAGTGCGCCGCCAAAAGCAGCGAAGCCGCCGCTATTCAAGTTCTCCGCGTCGTCCTGCCCACATAATCGGCCCGAATCCGTAAAACGGCCGATGCCCGGGAGACGAGAAATAATTGGCCGATTAATTCGCGGGTCGGCCGGAGATGTACGGGCGAGTGTAATCGAAGCTGACGTCGCGGGTCCAAGCGAGCGCGCGCCTCCCTTTTTTAATATTCCAAGGCCAAATTGTCGTTCGGCCGAGTATGTGGATCATCGGCAGCGGCGGCAGCGTCAGCGTCAGCGTCGACTCGTTTCGAACGCGGCGGAGGGAGGCCAACATCCAGGCAGAACCATCTGTGATCCGGTGAGTCGCACTACTTACCTTCCGGAGGTAGAGCGGATGCGACAGGTGAGGGCGCCTCGGCCGGCGTTTTGCGTGTCGACGGTAATGCAGTACTCCTCGCCCTGGGCGAGTTTGCGATGCACGCCATCTTTGATTTTGCAGGCGTCGGCCTTACCCGTGGATACGCTCTGGACGTTCACGGGACTGCTCGGTACCTCCTTACCACCGTACTTCACGTTAACCTTGTACCGACCGCAATCGTCCGGCAGATAGGTCGCCTTGTACTTGCCGTCGCCGAGGCTCTCGACGTCCACCTTGCGAGGAGACTGATCCGGACCCTAAACATTCCTCGTTCGATTATCATCCTTCCATCAACGCGAGTTCTATCTTTGTGATTTCGGATCCCCGATCGCGCTATCTTATCTCGACCATCGATATTCATAATACGCATATCATATAAGTATCAAGCCGATGCAGATAATGATTTATATATATATATATATATATATATATATATATATATAATTTGCCCACTTTGATGTCAAATTCATAAAATTATCGACAAAGTAAAAAATACAATTCATCTTTGCTAGCTCAATTGACTAATGTAATTCCGGCTAAATGCGTATTTGTAAAAACGTGCTGATTATACGTGATCCTCGAGCTAAAAATCCGTTAGTGATTGAGGACGTTGAGACTTACCCTTCGACCTATAAGCAAATATTAAGTTTCTCATTTGAAAATACCGAGTACTTATAATGGTAATTAGCAGTATCCGTGACTCGTACGAGCATAGAAATTCCCTCGACACGGCAGTAAATTAATGGCTCGGTTGCGGATGTAGACGGACCGATCGAGTCGGTTTCGCGCACTCACCAAGACTTGAACCTCGAGGTCGCCGAATCCGGCCTTTGACGTGTCGACGACAAAGTCGGCGGGGAACGAGGCGGTGGTGACGGGCGACACACCCGGGCCCGTAAGCACGACCTTGTTGGAATCGCAAGCCGGCTCGACCTTGACCTTGAAGGGGCTGCCCTGTACGGGCTGGCCACCGTAGTTGACGTCTACCTGGACGTTGCTACCAGCTGTCGATGGCTTGTAGGAGACCTCGTGTATGCCGTCGCGCACGCGCTTTATCTCAGGCTTGGATATATTACCCCTGTCGGTCTTCACTTTCACGTCGAGCACGGCGTTGGATGTCTTGGTGGAGTCGACGGTGAAGGTCGCGGGCACACCCTCGCGCACCATCTGGGGTTCCAAGCCGGGACCGTAGGCTCGAACGTTACTCGTCTCCTTCTGCAACAAGGACAACGGCAACATGCGCGTCCGTCATTAATGTCGATATGCTTTCGCGACAAACGACTACCGACTATCCAGAATATCCATACATTGAAAAGACTGAATTACTTGATAATTGACGGATGGAGGGGTATAAAACCCTTCAATGTTGAAAACAATTAATTATCAATGCATTTTAAATAAGGTGTCATTAATAATTCTTGAATTCTTTTCTATATATCGTATGTCGCCACTTTATTGACATTATATGACATGCAAAGTTTTCTTTCGAAGATTCCGTGCTAATAAACGTAATTACATTAACGACGGCCATTATTTGCTCATTGCTTTTGCTTACACTACATTTCAATCAATATTTCCCACGCAATTTCATTGGCTAATATTATATCGCTGGATTTCGGTATTGTTTCGGGCTGCGTAAGATTTACGAAAACGGCTTTTACGGCAAAACATTGACGAACGAAACCGGATATTCATTACAGATTTTATACACTATTTTAGAATTGAAAGGAAAGCCTCTTACTTTACAAAGTATCTACACGTCTTAAGTATTATTAAGTTAGGTTGGTAATACATCGGTTCAGGCCGTACGTTTGTCGCAGGCACTAACACTCGCTCATCGCGCCAAGTAAAAAAGCAAAATTGTTTAGTCCATCGATCGATAACAAAGTCCCATCGCGTACTCTTGACCTTGACATTATTAAACTCGAAAATAAATCACGAAATCTCAAAGTACGAGCTACCGCCAATTATAATTATCCAGCCTTATCGATCTCTTCCCTTCGATCCTCTTACCGGACTCTCCACCGGCACTCGGAAGGGCGATCCCGGAATATGCTTATCGGCGAATTTGATACTGATGTCGTAATCGCCAGATTCCGTTGGTAGATATTCCACACTACAAGATCCATCGCAATTGTCCTTGCACGAGACGACAGCTTCGCTTGGTCCTTCGATGGCCAATCCCAGTCCACCCGTTCCAGCTTCTGCAATTATGAAGATCGAGGTAATTCAGCGGGACAAAGAGTCTCGTTTAGCTTAGCGACTGAGAAGTTTTATTGGACAAATAGTCGATCGCTATAACAACTCTCCAACCACTCCAACGTCCTGCTTCAGCTTAACGGCCAACAATTAATTATTAACATCGGCAGTTAAACGATTTTTATAATTGTACGTGCCTCTGGTCTCGACGGTGAACTTGTTGGGCTTGTTGACGATGCCCTTCTGTAGCCCGGGCCCGTAGGCCCGACACCTGCCGGGCTCGCTGACTCGCTTGACATTGACGCCGAATGGCGAGCCTGGCACGGGTATATTGTCGTAGAGAACGTCGACGTTGTGCTTGCCTTCCTCGAAGGGCGTGTAGCTGACGCGGTAGGTGCCGTCTGCCTGGGGCGTTATAACCTTCTCGGTGATGCCGCCGCTCGGGTTGTTGATCGAGCAGCCTATCTTCTCGCTCTCGCCCTTGGGCTTGGCAACTGCGCGCGTATCGATCGTAAAGTCCGTCGGCTGGTAGAGGTTGAGACCTGGAAAGTTGGGCAACGTTCGTTATTAGTTGGGCTCTGTAGCGGCCGCGGCTGGGTCGAAGCCGAGGCCTCGTCTCCTGGGATAGGAGAAACCGCGTGCGTATGTAGAGGAGCGTGCGAGTCGAATCGACCGATGCTCTGGCCAAACTTTATGGCCAAACGGGAGTAAAGTTGGTGACACAATAGTGGGCACACAACCCCAGGGGTATAACAACAAAAGAAATATCTACGGCTTGAGGGGTGAAAAATACATTGCAGGCAGTATTAACAATTTGCGTATGTTGTGTGAAAGCTGTGGGATGAGTGATTGGCCGTCAATGGAGAATTCGTCAGCTCGGCTCCTCCGCCTCGTCGTAATCGTCGTCGTCGCCCTTCGATCGTCGATCGATCTTCCCTCTCGCGTTGTGCGCGTATCTAACGAAGAGAAAAAGCACCTGCATGCAAGGTAGCTCGACCGTATTATCCAGTCGTAATCGCCGAGATGTTCGGCATTGGATGGAATCGACAATTCGTGCATTAAGGAGCGCCTTGAGCTCGAAAATTCTCGCTTCGTGCATGCTCAAATCACGTCAATAAGTGGACAAATAACAGGCCAAACAAAGTTTTGGGTAGAAAAACGGTCATCGCGGGGAGTGTTGTGCACGAGATGGAAGAAGGCATAGGGTGAGAAGAATCTCGGCCGAATCATGCTACGGACGACAATCCACAGCAACCGTCACACGATGCAAGATGCAGCAGACAAGGTAAAGAGAGAGAGAGAGAGAGAGAGAGAGAGAGAGAGAGTGTGTGTGTGTGTGTGTGTGTGTGTGTGCGTGTGTGCATGCGTGTGCGTGCGTGATACAATGGGAGGAGAGAGTCGAGGGGAGAGCGGGCATTAAGGAGTGAGCGATGATATCAAATCTACGGGGTGAGGGGCGTGGTAGGGCGTGTGAGTTATCGGGGCAGGGGGCTCGGGAGTCTCATGTTCGGCAATGCGAAGCTGCTGACCGTGTGGCTGAATGCCGCGGCCGGCGAGCCTGATCTTGCCGAGGTCGAGCTCGTGGACGAGGGCCTGGAAGGGCGAGCCAGGCACGTGGCACTCGTTGAAGGTGATGTTGATGGCGTAGTCGCCGGGATCGGCGGGCAAGTAGGCGACCGAGCAGGTCCCGTCCCCGTTGTCCCGGCAGGTGATCGCGGCCTCGCAGGGTCCCTCGACCGTGACCCCGAGGCCGCCCTGGCCGGCGCCCCGGGTGTCGATCACGAACTCGGCGGGCCTGCCCGCGTAGCCCCGACTCAGCCCGGGCCCGTAAGCCCTCACGCGCCTCGGCTCGCTACTCGGCAGGCAGGTGAGCCGGCGCGGGTAGCCCCCGACCGCCGCGCCCCCGTAGCTCACGTCCACCTCGTACTCCCCGAGCTCCGTAGGCCTGAAGTTCACGATGTAGCCCTCCTGGCTGGGCAGCACCTGGGCCATGCAGCGCAGCCCCGAGGGCCCAATTAACGCCACCTGGATGTCCCACGGATGGCCGGCCTCCTGCGTCAGCAGCACGCGAAACTGCTGAAGAGTGTTGACGATCGCGGCTGTGAGCGCCGCCTTTTTTTTATTCCATTGGCTTCGACTCGGCCATCGGCTTAGCTCGCGCCTCGCTCGCTCACTCGCTCGCTCTCAATCATCCACTCATTCACCCATCCAACGCCCCCTCTATTATAACGATCGCCTCCCTCGCTCTCGCCGCGCGCCAGTCGATGCTCGTCTCCTCGTATATCGCTTACTATCGAAATGCTGCCGAAGCCTCTGCGAATTTTAATTACAGCAGCAGCAAAACCTAACAGCTTTTGCATGAGCGATCTCAAGCGGTTATTCATGGGGAGAGCGACGATAATTGAGAAGGGACAAAGTATGTAATTACGATGAATTATGAGTGACGAAAAAAAAAATAAAATAAAAAATAAAAAATAAAAAATAAAAAAAAATAAACTGAATAAATGTCTGATTGTAATTGTTCGAATTAATTATTAGTTACGTTAATTCATAGTGTTACCGTACACTTTTTTTTTCTTTAATAATAATAATAATAATAATAATAATAATAACAAGATGAAGAGAAAAAAACTGGAGAAAAAAAGCCAATAAAGGCAGAGAGAGAAAACGCGATAATTGACGTTTGTTTTGCGATTTCGAGGGCGAGCCGCGCGATTCGGGGATTCATTGGCTAATGGGCTGAAAGAGCCATTCGGCGCGCTTGGACAAATTGCTTCCTCAAAATTTCACCGGCCCCGGACTAATTTAGAAAGCCTCTCTTCGTTTTACTCTCGAAAATAAACTCGCGTGCTCGTCACGGATTTCACGGCGATATGTGCGATTCGTCGGCATTCGGCGCTCGACGCGTGATCTAAATTTAAATTCGGCATCCCAGTGTTTTGTGCTCACCGAGTCCGCGAAACTCGGCGTATCGTTGACTTTGACACGGGTGGGGGGGTGGGGGGGGGGGGGGGGGGGGGGGGGATGAGGCATTACTAGATGAGAAAGTGACCTCGCGAAACATCCACGTTGAAACGAGGCTCCCGAAATTTTTCAATATTCTCGACATTGATACTCCCAACTATGATGGATTATTTTAATAAAATTTCAGTCGCTGATAGAATTATTATTTGAGCAGAATCGTCCATTGTAGCTCGTGATTTATATTTTTATGAATTCAGCGAGCCAAGTCGTTAAATATGAACGCAAACGAAGAAATTAATCGCGAAACAAGTTTCGTATTTGCGTGTGTGCGCGCGCATGTCACGACGTTGTCGTATAGTCGATGTTGATTAGTAATGTTTTATGATAAAATCAGATGCCAAGTCATTAATGATTTTATGTCAGATACGCTAGTATGAATAGCCAAAGCTTATAATTTTTTAATTCATTCGCTTGCATTTTCAATACTTTTTACAAACTATTTGATTACTACGCTATAAAGCTCCGTGGGTGCGCATCGCGTATCTTACACTTTATTCGCATAATTAACAATTATCCGATAAAACTTACGGGCATGAGTTACGAGCCATAAATTACATTATTGTCATACCGGAAAATGGCTGGCTTGTTTTCACTTTAACCTAGATTTAAGAAAAATCGCTAGACTTTACTGCTGGCTTTATTATTGAATTGTATGCTCGGCCAAGCACGAAATAGTTATTAATATTACGAGATAATAATGTTTATTAGAAAGCATTTTCATCGATTGTCTCACAAGTGTCAATAATCGGAGTTAAAATTATGATAAGCAGTGAAGGATCTGAATTCCCAAGCTGATCGAAAATCTTACGATATTTGGTTGGAAAGGAAAGCACCGACTTTATATCATATATCACAATACTTTCTTTCGTTATATTTTACGAAAGATGCTGAAGATTTTATTACATTTGCGACTCTCGTCGGAAATGCCTATCGTAGATAATGACAGCGAATACACGCTATCTTTAGCCCAGATAATGTGATTAAATCCTTAAAATAAAGGAGTTCAATTCAAATTCAACATGGTACCACATAAATTAATGTGCCTTGACCTTATCGCCCCATTATTATCACCTACGATTTGATTATCATTGTAAAAAAATTAACGAGAGTAGTGCCGATGAGATTGATAAAGATACTTACTCGGCGACAGGCCATCGACTTTCACTTTGGAGACGTCAACGTGCGGCTGAACGTTGACCTTTAACGGGCTTTTCGGCACTTTCAAGCCGCCGTAGTTCAAGTTGACGGTGTAAGTCCCAGGATCGGGGGCGACGTAGTCGACGGTGTAGGTGCCGTCCTCGTTGTCGGTAAGGGAAATCGGTAGGTCGTGGCCCTCGGGTGTCTTCATGTCCACCTTGAGGTCACCAGGGCCGGCCTCGCGGCAGTTCACATTGAAGTGCGTCGGCGTGTTCGTCTTGACGCCACTGTCGAGTCCGGGCCCGAAGGCCTGGACCAGGGCCGGATTCAGCGGGGCCTCGACCTTCACTCTGTACGGTGACTTTTTCGTCGCAACGCCACCGTAGTTCACCTGCGATTTCATCAATAATCATCAATACGCAAATTACAATACCATTCGATGATTTTTGCCCGTCTCATGCACTCGACATTCATCTCGACTCTGCGATTATCGAAACTCCCTAGAGCAATCGCTAGCCGTGCCTGCCAATATCCCGAATAAATGCTGCGATTAGCATAATTTACCATGACAACGTGTTGTGAACCGGATGTTGGCTTGTAATGTGCTTGAATCGTTCCATCTCGCTTGTCCTCCAGCTTGATTGGCACATCTCTACCGAAGGCATCCTTAATCGCCACTTCCAATGGTGCTTGGCCAGCCTTTCTTACATCGACCGTGAAGTGCGTTGGCTTGTCACTGAGTACTCCTTCTGGCTGAATACCGGGTCCATGAACTTCAACCTGGAAGTAAATAATTGTTACGTTAGGTCAAGCGCCATTGATTAATTAATCAATCTAATCTTAAGCGTATATATATATATATATATATTCTATAATTTCACGTTTGACAGAGTGATCGAGAGTCAATAGGTGCGCGCGTGTGTATTGGTCGAATGATGTGGAAAATGAGACGAGGCCTTGGACAATTTGGATTATAAAATTACCTGAAATTTCATGAAAGGTAGGAGGTAGGTGTTGCACGGTATAAAATAAACAGAATAAAAGTAAAGATTGAGTCGGGTGGTCGATTAAAATGGAGCAGTGAGGAGTAGGATGGGCCTTGTTGAGACGTGATTGGACAAACCTTGTCAGGATCGAAGTCGCTCTTGGGGACGATGTTGGCGATGTAGGGTGACTTTGGTATGTCCTCGTTGTCACAGAGTATGTGAACGGCGTATGGGCCAGGGGCTGTCGGCAGGTAAGAGACGTCAGCGGTACCATCGCCGTTATCGACGCAGTCGATCTTGGCCTTGGATGGACCCTCGATAGAGAACCCGAGGGCACCGGTCTCGCCGTTCGTGTCGACGGTGAATCGGGCCGGGTGCCCGACGATACCCCCGTAGAGTCCGGGCCCGAACACGCGTATGGCCGACTCCTTATACGGGCCGACATTGACCTCGAACGGTGACTTGGGGATCTCCTTGCCTCCGTATGTCACCATTACCACGTGACGGCCGTCCTTCACCGGGAAGTAGTGGCACTCGTAGGTGGTATCGTCCACCTTCCTCAGGCTGGAATACGCACGGACGTTAAGTGACTGTGTGAATCATTCCTTTAGGCTTCTTTTTATTAACGTCTTATTAATTAAAGATTTTCCACGAGTTTGTTTGAATAAACTGTCGACAATTGTTCAAGGAAAGTGAGAGGATATGGCATGATGTACACGCGTTAACGCTGCGCTTACAATAATCCAGCTGATTATATTCAACGCTCATTTCCAACAATTTTCTACGGCATTATGTTGTTCATATATTAAGGTGTATAAAAAAAAAAAAATATGTGCAATGTTCATTCTCATGATTTAAAGTTTCATTTTAAGTTTAAGTTTTCTTACCGATCCACGGCCAATCTCCCTCCTAAACACTAGAATATTCACGCGAAGTACACAAAATACCGATAATTTTAGTCCGTTGATCGAATCGAATGAGAAACAAAGATAGATCATAACGATCATTTCGAAATTACTAAGCAAACGTACTATTGGCCTCACTTGGACCGGGTCAACAAGAGTTTGCGCAAATTACAAGTAAACGGCTTAACAATTGTTTGACCAACTACAGGCTATCGAGAGTTTTCACTCTAACACTCGAATTCACCAATTCTTTTGGAAACTATATTTAGATCATCTCCAGAGCGAATCGGCCCCACGAGCTCCTTGGTGAACGAGGCAACACCGCTATTTATAAAACCTAATGGCTCTCCCATTTTTGTCTAGCATCGAAGGAAGCGACGGTGATGCACGCAACGGTGAAAGCAAGCCGTCGACGCGTATCAAGTGGTATGCCGTAATAATGAAAGTTGGCGTACTTAGCGGGCAGGTTGACGCCGCCGGGCGCGATGATCCTTACATCGGCCTTGCCCTCGCCGGCGTCCTTGGTCGTGATAACGAAGTCCGCGTCGTCCTTGACGCGAACGCCGTTGGCCAATAGTCCCCGGCCGTATGCCTTGCACTTTTTCGCATCGGAGATGGGTGCGATGCGCACACCGACCGGGTTGTTCGGTATGAGCTTGCCAGCGAAGAAGATGTTCACTGAGTGGAGCCCCACGATCGGCGAGACGTACTCGCAACGCCAGACGTCCGGGGATGTCTGGCGCAACTTCACCGGCACCGTTGTCCTCGAGCCCTGCCAAAGTCCAATAATAATTGATTATCGACCATCCCTGAGACCGAGAGAGAGGGAGAGAGAGAGAGAGAGAGAGAGAGAGATAGCTCGTACATACAGAGGCACTTGACCATTACTTTACAGCGTATCGTTAAATTAAAACGATTACTAGACGCGAATCGCGAGTTAAAATTAATTTCATCGTTATACTATCATTATATTTTGAAAGTCATTTGGCGCAGTCTCCGCCCGTTCAACAATCCGCCGGAAATCACTAATTTATCCAACACCGTTCAACGAGGGTCGTTATGTATACTCCATCTATATAATATTAAAAGCAACAACAATGCGGTTACGTGAAAGTTCCGCCACGGTGCCGAATCGGGAATTTTGCGATAATAGCGGATTGCATTTGCTTTGCAATGACGCGCGAGATAAGAGTCGCAGTCCTCGGCTCGATGATTCAATGGATTTTTTAAGAGATGAACGAACGAGGCGAATGTCTAATGCTCGAGCGAACGGCGATCAAGCAAACTTCTTCCATATTAGTCGGCGTGAGGCCTCTCACGGCGGACAAGAAAAGAGAAAGTACGACAGGCGCGAGGTGTGTACCTGAGGATCGAGAACCATGACTTCGGGCACACCTCTTCCGGCATCCTTGGTGAAAATGTCGAAGTAGGTGGGTCTGTTGACGATGACGCCGTCGGGCTGGAGGCCCGGACCACTGGCCGTTACTTTGGTCGGGTCACCGGCGTGACCTTCGACCAACACCGAGTACGGGCTCTTCGGGATCTCCCGATTGGCGTACAGCACTTTGACCTTGTGCGGCCCTTCGTTCACGGGTGTGTAGGACACCGAGTACGTGAGATTGCGATCCTTGTTGAATCTAATGTCGACCTATAATGCAAGCCCGTGGAGAAAGCATTATTGGACCGATCGGCTCGAATCGCTCTCGAAGCGTCGAATGCCACTTAACGCTATTTTCAATATCACTGTAGTGTTATGCATAATTAAAAACAATAAAATAAATGTGTTAAAGGTGAGTATCAAAGGCTGAGTGAGTAAATGCGAAAACATTATGGTGGAATCCAGTTTTAGGTGGATTTATCCTTTAATGTACCTTACCTCATCCTGAAAAGTCTAATAATTGTTAATGAAAGATTAGAGGATAATTCTCAACGGGCAACGTTGCAACAATTACATTGAAAATTGATGTAAAATAAAGAATACAGAGATAATATGAAAAAAAAAAAGAAAAAGTACAGTGTAATTATAGAGGAAATAGAATAAGTTATAAATAACAAAGTCATGAAAATCAAATGATAAGTAATAATTCAATAAGTAAATTATAGACACGAATGGTCTCGAAGATGCTTTAAATTAATATTTATATTATTTCAATGTGCACAAAGTATAAGGAAGAAAAATATTCGCATATTATAACGATTAAATTAAATTTGTTGGATGAAATTAAACGGTCTACAATACTATATGGACAATTACCTTCATCCTATATCGTAATCACTTTTCCCGAATTCAGTATAAACATTTTTTGTCGCTTCGGTAAATCAACTTTTTACGTTTATGCATAAATAAATACGTATGTGAGTATATACACGTATTTAAATAATTAAATCGTTGCAATTTTCTGGTAAAATATTGGTAGCGTAATCTAGATTTCGTTTGTGTTAACTCGTATATAGGATACTTTGAAAATTACATTTTGCGTAAAATTTGAATTTGAAACGGAAGTGAAAGCAAGAGAGAAGTGTAAAGAAAAGAATAAATTTTGATTATATTATGTGGCTGTGTGCCACTGACATTATATTCCGACTATTGAATTGAATTTTCTTTTGACTCTCTAATTATTCCATATTTGTAAAGATAAAAATTTACTCTCAGCTAAAACACGAGACGATTTGTAAAGTGAATTGGACTTTGAAAATTATCGTCTGCACTTCAATCACGTAATTTGACAATGAATTGCTTCTACTGCTAAGACTCGCACGAGTGCAATGTATGCTAATTTCATCGAAAGCTCTTGCATTATTGGCGATTTTATCGACTATTCCTCGGCGTTGAATTGAAAGTTGTCAGAAGCGTGAAAGTAGTCAGTGGAGAGTAATGGAAGATTGGATTTTAAGGTAATTTACCGGCAATTTGAGACCCTTGGGATCGTCGACGGTAACGTTCACGTTTCCCTTGCCAGCGGAGAAGGTCTCGACGGTGAAGTTGGCGGGCGCCCCGATGATCGGGCCCGTGGGTTCGATTCCAGGACCGTAGGCTCGTACCCTGTAAAATCCTCCGTCACTCTATAAATCGTTGAACGACGCGGCCTCGAGTACCGATGTCAGGTTGTATTATTACGCTCGAGGAAGATCGGCACTCGAGGCTCGATGTGATGGGTAGGTGGGAGGGGATTAAATACGTCAGTCAGTTACAAGCATGAAAGAAAGAGCGGAGAATATTATCGTATAAAAGTGCTACTGACTAATACGTGCGTTAATGCGATTAAAGCCTTATACATCGATATGACAACTACCGGATAATCGGTATAATGGCGAACGTATGCGTGTCGTTGCTGGCGTCTGCCACGGTGACACGCTTGTGCGTGATGTGCAGAACAACGATTATGAAGCAAATATCGTGTCTTATGTAATGGTGTTAATGAAATAAAGGAGGACTGCGCGCGATAATCCAAGCACAAATATCGCCTGCTCAATGAGAAAGAAACAAAGAAGAAAGAGAGAAAAGCCCCCATGGCAAAAACACATTAATGCGCTAATATAGAAATTAATGAGAAAGAAAGGAAAACCAATTAGGGCAAACGCTAGAGATTATAATATTAAGCGGTGCGCGTTTGATGACTTACCGCGGTGGCGGCACGCTGCGTTCGAGGCATGAAATAAATTCATAACATTATTTTATTTTTTCCAGCACCAATTACCATTATGATTTTATAATACTCTACATTCTACTCTACACTTTCGTTCGATTTTTGCTTCTATTACTTTGAATTCTTACATTATATTTCATTGTTGTTATATTCTTTTATTATCAACTCTATTATTATTATTATTATTATTTTATTTATTTATTTATTTATTTATTTATTTATTTATTTAATTTCTTTTTTTTTTAATCTATTTTTTTTCATAGCTTTCTTTTTCAGTCTACATTCACGATCAATACACGTGATGATCTTACGGACTTATTTATGTCTGTACGTGATCCTAGTTTTAATTTCTATATACCTGTGAGTGAATACAAACGTTATTATTACCTGTTTGGATTCGTGCGCGGACGAATTGGTGCTCCTGGCTTCAATTTTGCGTTGGGATACTGCGAGAGATACGTCATCATGGACATTTCGTCGATATTTGGATTAACCATCTCCTCCGGTTTGATTAACTGGAATAGAATATTATTATGACATATTAATGCGAAAGAAAAGACACGAGTCGTAAGATAAATAGGATTCTCGATTAACTCGACGATCGTTTTATTTCGTTCTATTAGAGATGATATTTAATTTTATGGAAATTGCGCGAGTAACGTAATTGCGCATTGGAGCTCCAAAATTTATGCAAAACTTTTCCAATATTCAACAATGGCACGAAGAATAATCGGCATTAAAAAATGGCTATGAAATTGAAAAAAATCTACACATTTATTAGCTCATGAGGTAATACTATTATTATATACTTGGGTGACGGGTGTATGTGTGTATAATATTGTTGGCTCTTTACGTTGTAATTGACGAGTAATTGCAATGTTAAACGATACGCGCAATTTAACGATTTTTACGATTGAATAGCGTTATTAAATATTTCATCAACATTCTCATGTATTTATTTAGAGCATTGCTGAAATTATGCTAAAATTGAAAGAGTTGATCCTTAGCCAAGTGACATTAAAAACGTGGAAAATGGGAATGGGAATGAAAGAAAGAAAGAAAGATAAGCAGTCTCGATTTAACAACCCACCGCCGACTGTCTCTCGTCCTTGATTTATTTCGAAGAATCAACGTAGTATACATTGTAGCGCGGATCTATAAGGAGAGCAAATATTTAGATGAACATTCGTTTATTTTGTTTGATCCATCTTCAGTTTCAAGTTCACTCACGCCAAATTAGTCAATTTTACTAATTCGTGTGTAACTCGTATATCGATGCAATTTTTATGTAACAAAGCCTGTGAGGATTAGCCATTATTATTCAACAACGGCCATTCAATAACGAAGTATTCTCCTTATTAACAGTCCGTATATTATAAACAAGTATTGCTCATTTCTCTGCAATCATAATCATGTAAAAATCCACGAAAACGCTAAAATACGAAACTTGGATATAAAAAATCTCGAGCGACTGCAGAGTCGGCAATACGCGACGATGGCGAGGCGGCTGCTGCGTTCCTCGGAGCCGCTTGGATGAGTAAAAAAAGTGACGTAGCAGGAAATGAAGTAAAGCAAAGTGGACGTGAGGCAGGAGTGGCCTGGTGGAGAAGAGATCGCAAGAGTAGAAAATAGGTAAGAGACCTGCGGTATGTTGAGCCAGTCGTCGGCAAGACCCATGGCCTCGGCCGCGTTTTGCGCAGCATCCTTGGGATTCCAGGAGGCCCAATCCGGACAGAGACCGGGTGCGATCGAGTCCACAAGGGCACCGACCGCCCGGCCGTCGTTCCAGTCTGAGGTGAAGTTGGAGATCGGCAGGTCCGGGATCTTTGATTGGATCCAGTGCATGAGACGTTGCTTGGGCGTGGCGCCCTTGTCCGGGCCATTCATGTCGTCGCCCTCCCACATGGGCATCGAGATCGAGTAGTGAAGAATGAGGGTCCATATTAAGCCGAGGATGAGCTTGAGCTTGCAGTCGACGATGTCGGAAGAGTCTGAAATTGAAAGTGGCAATCATTGTCGATCCCCCGTCCCTTCGAGCCTAATATTATGCTAATTCAACTTATATTCTTTTCTCACTTTTGCTTAAGATTTGAGGATGAATTTTTTATAAGGAGACTATTGAAAAAAATACATAAGTTAGGTATTGGACCTATACACCTTCGAGTGTCTATGAGAAAATATTTTCTACGATTCTTTCGGTCGGATTAAACATGAGTGATTTTTTTTTTTTTTTTTTTTTTGCTTTATCTTGCAATTTTAATCTTTACTTTAAACATTAATTGCACTTTTAAATTATTCATTAAAATGTTGATTTCATGGGACATAAATATGTTTGAAAAAGTATAAAGCGTGAACTATGGAACTTGAAAAACTTGAAACTTAAATACAGCGCACAAACTGCATATAGAACTTGCTAAGAAGACGATTTACATTTTACTCATTTTACTAAAATCCATTTGATATAGATACTTATTAATATAACGTTAATTCGTACTTTTCAAGTCTTTGTATTTCGATAAAAAGAAAGAAATTGTCTAGCGTAAGTTAAAATAATATAGTTTTTTAAATAACGGTTGCAGCCGATACTGTATAACTATATTCTTTTTTCAATATTTAGTCATGTAGTGCCAAATAATAAGTGTTTTGAGCGATATAGTTACTGGCGATTTATGATTTTTACGAATAGTTATGTAACATTCATTTTTACATAAAAATTTATACACATATACTTAATATATAGCCTATACTATCTCATAATTGAACATAATGAGTTATTAATAGTTCATACTCTAAGACGTTAATTTAATATACATTGTGCCAGTAATCGTTTTTTTTTTTCAAAACAATTATAATTTTTTGTTTTATATTAAGTAAGAATGTATATGTAGGATAGCCGTAAAATTCTATAAATACTGTTTGGTGTCCCTTAATTTCATAAAGTAAAGCAAAATTATTTCGGTTACATTAAGCGTTATTTTTATAAAATTAGATAAAATATCTTAAGATTCATTGCCAATAAATTTTCTGCAAAATATAATAAAGTTTCTCGTAGTAAATTCAAGTAATTAAAAATATAATAAGAAACCATAAATTAATTGCCCGATGATCTTACATTAGATTTTTATTTTTAGCACTTTCGTAAAGCAGATTATTTTATGAAAAATTTGACTCACAAGCTAAATTAATGATCTTATGCAACAGAACATTTTACACACTACAATGCCATTAAATTATGCGTATACACGACACTGTGTACAACAGATAAGCGTTTTATAATTAAAACATGAAATTTCAACGTAGATTCTTTGATGAAATATGAAAAAAGAGCGCTTAAGTAATTAATTTTTAAAAACGTAAACATGTTTACCTACTACATTTCTTTAAAACTTCATTCATATCACGAATGATATTGCTTACATCTTCGCATTAATATCAATTAAAAAATCTTTGGCAAAAAATATCTTGCCATCGACTCAATTAAACAATGTTAAATATTTATAATTAAACGCTTATATAAAATGAATAATAAAATTAATTTGAATTAAATTTCTCTGGCTCCCGAGAATTTCGGTAGAAATACATATTATTTTAAGAATAAGAAATTATCTTATCTTATCTACACTTTTATTAGTACTCATGTTTCACATTATTCAAAACATTATTCAAACATCTACTAAATTGAGTAATTAGTAAAGAATTTTTTTTTTTTTTTTTTAATTACATGGCAACTACGAACTCTTGCCAGCCAATCAGATTTTCACTCCTCGCGCCTACTTCTTACGATAATTTGAAGATCGTAAGTACACGCGATGCACGTATTTTAAAATTCGCTCTATAGTAAGATTTAAAAAATCCATTGCTTTTTCGGGGAACTAATCGATCTTTAAATAGCATAGTCAATGTTACGAAATCGAACTGTCAAACTTCGCCTCTAAGCTTCCCATCTCCTTCCCCCACCCTCATTCTCTCCAAGTCTCTCCATCGTGAATCGCGCGCCTACTTACGACCGAGCTCGAGTCTACGGCAAGAATAATCCTTTTTCAATGTCATTCTCAGCGCGGGTCGTGGTCGAGTATTGGTGGTGGTTGGGAGGGGGGAGGAGAGAAAAAAGTGGGCGGCTCAATTTAGAAACAATCTCGGATTCAAAGTACGCGGGCTTATTCACATCGTTCGCGGGGGCCGGAGAAATGCCGCAAGCCCGAGCCGTCTTTTACCGTATCCTCTTTCGATGTATTTATGAAAGCTCGGCGTGACCGCGCCACGAAAACTAGAAAAATACACACGGGGAATCTCCTCCAACTCCAATTTTAGAATCCGCCTCGTGTTCGCCCGATCATTGTGCAACGGTGGCGACGTTTCTCTTGTTTATTTTCAAACAATGCGTATCGCTTGCACTCTCCAATTTCACTTCTTTTTTTCGTTTGCGATGGAAAGAGGAGGAAGGGAAGTAAAAAGCCGTCAGCCGTCCGCTTGCCTCCTGCCGAAAAGTAAAATAAGGCTGCCGATGCGTCAAGTACTATTTTCGATTCGTACGTGAATGACGCCGGAGGAATTCGCTTAGGCAGACGGGAAAATCGGCGGAAAGCAAGAACGTAAAATGACTCCGAAGCGCGTAAGCGTGAAAAAAAGATAAAAAAAAAACAAAAAAGAGAGAAGAAAAAGTTGCCCACAACTTGGGCGTTGTCGCGACACTCATCCGATGCGTCGGAGAGTATTCGAGCGCCGTGATTCATGCTTTAGCGGCCGTGGGATGAGAGGCCGAGGGGCCTCGTGGCTCCGCCGCAGCTTCGGAGTCTCGTGTCGTTCGAAAACTTTCGATGATTATTGGCCCGAGATTATGCGCGAGGCTTATTTATGCAAAACTGTCTGCCGCTCCGTTAATATCGGTAAGATGAATTGGCCGAATTGGCAGTGATAGAGGCTCGAACTTAATCTTATTTCTATTTCGGTGATTATTGCATTTTATTTATTTGCTAAGTTTTAACGCGCTATCGAGCTAATGTAAAAATAGACGCATAAAGTGTTAAACGGAGTGTAACGATCGGACGAACGTTTAAATAAATACGGAATTAAGCTTGGATTATTTTGAAACAGTACTAAGTTTCAGCTCGTCTTATGTTTCTCCACTCGATGAAATTAGTCGATAATTGGCCATATTTTTCATAACGATAAACCTGCTGTGCTTTTACTTTTTCACTGTCGATGCAATATCGCTGTAGTGTATATCAAATTAATTTATGAGAGTAATTAAAATGAAATGAACAAATATTTTTAAACGTTAATTTCATACTATCAAGCTACCGTTTGATATTTCGTTGATAAACAATATTTTGGCTAATCGCAGAAGCAAGATAAAAATGCTCGATGCTCATTTACTGTATTTACCTTGTTATTCGTAATCTGAAATATTGTAAAGTTGCGACAAGTAAATGACGCTAATAAAGCAATCTACCCTACCGACCGTATCTCAATAAACGACTGCGAGTGAGAGAATCGCTAAATTTGCGTAAACAAAATTGTAGTTGATTTAATAACAGAGAAAATTGTAATTCGTTATATATATATATATATATATATATAAATGTTCTATTATGTATTCGATAATTAATATTTATAATAACTATAACAATAAGAACAATCGTAAATAACAACAACAACAACAACAACAACAACAACAACAACAACAACAACAACAATAATAATAATAATAATAATAATAATGATGATGATGACGTATTGATTAATGGACTGATTAAAAAGTCATTGTCGACTTTTTGAATGCGCACGTTTTGTTGCAAAGAGAGTCCAATATTGGAATATTCGAGGTTGTGTCGTTTCTTTCGAATTTCATCGCAATTAACTATAAGTTATAAAAATTTTCATTTCTATTGAATCGATCGAATTGTTCGTCTTCGTCATCATCCGTATCTGTAATAATCTAATATCTGTAATACCAAATATTTTGATGCCTTGTTTATAAATATTCTATATGCGTTAGAGACCACAGAGTTACCATGTAACATTTATTTTTGTATTCTACATACGCTATTGTGATTGTATACTACAGTCTTATTTGGATTCGAGTTAACTCAAGGGTTCGATGCACTTGTGTAATCAAAGAAACATATGTTGTGTGATAATAGTGTCCAGTGTCAACTCGAATTTACAGGACGAGCCCTCGCATATATCTACAAAAGGTTTCTCGTTACAAGCTTCCCACGCATACAGGTATAATGAAACTTACCCAAGGCCTTAATATTTTCTAGGATTAACGCTTTACATTCACAGTCCGTAAACCTTCTTGAATTTAAGACTTTCGCGCTAGTCAAAAAGTTTCAAATACTGTCACGAGTCTAGCAAGCAAATTTCTAATATAACAATTTATATTTAAATGGCGATCATTTATAACTTATCATACATTAGACAATAATAATAATAATTAGACGAGAAGACAAGGTTAATGAATTTCCGAACAAAATGCTGTTCTCTATGCGATTTGTAGTTGAATGAATGTTGATACAATTCAGGACCTAGCACTACCGTAATTATCATTAATGAATTAACGAAATAACGATTAAATTAAAAAAAAATTACAACAAGCAAAAAAAAAACATAAAAACAAATTATCTTTCAACTAACCAAATGAATTTGGAACAAACATTGGCGATGGAATGTGCGAGAATCGTAGTCGCGCGAGTGAACGGAATTACTTATCGCTATAAAAACACAAGGTAAATAAATATTTAGTTAAAGCGAATTCTTGGGCAGTGATAAAGAAAGGAACTTCGGAATACTCGCGAGTCTAATTAGCAAGATTAAGTCGGTGACTCGGTGCCGTAATAACGTACTCTTAACAAGTCCTGGGATATCCAATGCGAACTATACGCTCGGATTAATACATTTTTTTCGGATTTACATTAATACAAGATAAGAGATAGGATTGGGTGGAAGTAGGCCAGAAGACGCAGATGACCATTGGGAGGGGGAGGGGCGGGGGGAGGGGGAGAAAAGAAAAAAAAATAAAAACGAAAATCGCCACTCGCGAGTTACCAACGAGCGGAAAAAATAGAATTGAAACGGTAGCTGTCGTCTTAACCTAACGCGGCATTACCGCTACCATAAAACAACAAAGATAAAGAAAGAAGCACCCGTAGTGGCATTAGCCTCTATATAAGTACGACGAGGGAAATTGCGCGGCTTCTGCCATCGTACGCACACATTTTCAGGCTTTTCCTCGCGCCAGCATATCGTATGTCCGAGTTGACTCGAGCCTTATCGAAGCGACACCCACCGCCAATTGAATCATTTGACAAGAGCTTGTGGCCTTGGCATTAATGAATCAAGATTTGTGTAAACAAAGCTCGAGAGCGCAAAGAGTACGCTAAGAGTAGATCGAGCTCCTGATTATTTTTAAACTGGAAAATAAATTACGCGACGCTCGTTATTGTTTTAAGCAACGCTAGCGAGCCACCAATTATCCTTCCAATGATCCTTCAACTTTCGTTTGCATTTCAGACACGAGCACACTCGATGAAACAACAAGCAAAGAAAAGTTAAGAAGTGGAGAAAAAATATTCCACAATCGCACAATTCATTCTTAAGAATTGCGAGAGTTTAAGGTCTAAGAGAGTCTCGGATTATCTAAAAGATTTGGAATTATAAAGTTATTTGCGTTCGTAGGGAGATTTAATCAATCGGCTACTAATATCACGTTTGGCGAGGAGGACTCTTTGGAAACTAAAATTAGCTTTGTCAAATATCTCTCACTCGTTCTCGCGGAGAAAAATACTTTCGAGTCATTGCTACTACCGATCAATGCAAATAATTCCCCGCGTTCTTCCACGACTGTTTTCTCATCATCATTGAATTATTAAATGTTTTAACATTTAATGCGAAACTTAGTCTAATCGCTAAAAGGCATTTTTAAAGAATGTCTGTAAAATTGCCATTATACTGGAGCGCAAAAATTGTTCGCAGAAATGATTGAAAATAAAATCACGCCGAGCCTTTATGCTTTATGGTATATCCGCCTCGTTCGATCATTCAATGTTAGATAACCTTGGGGACAATTACCATTCGCCGAATATTTTGACAATTAATAATGACATTCTCACGATCCCTGCATTCGTTATCGCCATCGCATAACAAAAGAGAATAAGGAAAAGAAAAAGCAACGCCTTTCGCATAATTGCACGAGGCCCGTCGTCGACGTGCCAACGAGATAATTCACAGTCCGCGGCGCCGCCAATGTCATTATTATGCTCATTTTCACTCCATTCGATCATGGATTACGCGTGCGCGGTGCAACGGCGAGTCGATCCTGCGATGTCTCACGCGCAAAAATAAACGCGGGCCCATGACGAGGCGCCTCCTTGTGCCACGGAACAGCATTCCCCGAGCGCCGATAGCGCACAATAATGCCATACAGAGTGGAATCTTCGGCGCGATCGCGATGGCAAACGAGCTGCGGAGTCGGCCTCGATGACGGCATTGGAGTCGTCGTCGTCGTCGGCGTCGCGCGCGACCTCCGAGTACGCCGCCGCCGCTGCCGCCGCTGCTGCCGCTGCCGCCGCCGCCGCCACCACCATCGTCGGCGCGAGCTTAGACGATGACGTCACGGATCATCGGACAGCGGATTACCTCAGCACGGCCCGTCCTTTTTCCTTTCCGCGAATAATATGTCCCTCGAGGGCTTTTGGGTCGCTGTGATCGCTGATTTGATCATACCCGTGACGCGATTGCCGAGAGCTAATTTTACGTCTCATTATTAAAAATGTAGCATCGCACGGGAAACAGTTCGACTCTACGGGAGGCCGTACGGATTGATCGTGACGTAGTTGGCTGGATCGGGCGCATTTACACGGCCTCTAATTCATTCCACAATTTTCTTCAACTTTCTTTTTTTCTTCCCTACTAACAATGCCATTATTCAGTCCTATGCGTATTATACCGGCGTTCCTCGCCGTAAGCGACATATCCGTGTAATAGCTTATATAATGAGCTATTTTTCATTTCTCGACATTAAAAGCTGAGAGAGTGTAGGGTGAAACGGCGATAACAGCTGATGTGCCGTAAATATTCGGTTTGATGCATTAAAAAGTCAAAGACGAACTTTTACGGCGATATGCCAGCATCTGACTAACGAATACTGACTCGGGACAAGTGCCACTTTGTAAATAATTTCATTAATTTTGAATGTAGAGTGAATTGGACTTACTAAACTGTTACTTCGGTAGTTGACAAAGCAAAATTTATTGGCCCAATATGTTTGAGGCTAATGAAAACGCAAGTGCATGTAATTTTAGAAGTCTTAATTAACGGATATCTCATTCTATATTAGTCGATTAATAGTTGAATCTTCAAAGGTCACGTTCCATCTAATCGTGCATTTCCATTCCCAAAAAGCTTCTTCGCATTAATTACAATGCTTACTTATGTAAAAGCAAACAGTATTTAAAGTGAGAGTAGTGGGAGAAAGAAGAGCTTCGTGTCATACGTTCTGTAATTTTGATAAACTTAAATCATTTTCAACAAATGATCAATGTTATTTTTAAAGTAGACATTACCTTTAATTGCCGTAAGCGCGAAAGTTTGCTCTCTGGCTTATTTAAATTTCAATTTTCTTAAACAATGGCCTCGATTGCTCATTCGGCTTAACGTGGCATCTTAGAGAGAGCTATTTCCAGAACAACGTCGTTTTATTCATTGCTCGAATATAATAATTTGTTTGGCTCTCTCTCTCTCTCTCTCCCTCTCTCTCTCTCTCTCTCTCTCTCTCTCTATCTCTCTATCTCTCTATCTCTCTCTCTTTCCTTCGTTGCTTCTAACTTTTAGTGAACGGGGGTTCACTTGGTACTTTGTTGATAATCAGCTAAAGCTCCAATGTCTATAGCAGTCTCCATTCGGTTATACCCTCATGACGGAATAATTACGTTAGAAACTTCCAGCATACGTGGAGAAGCGACAGCACGGGACGCGATTTTCAAGAGCAACATGGAGCGATCGACTATGCCCAAAGTGCCAAATTCAATAATAATGGGCGCTACGAACAAACCAACTGCTTCCGAGCGATCGACAACTCAAGAATCAATCGTTTTATCGTAAACATAAAGGGAAACCGAAGCGAGACAAATCGATTTTAAGTAGTGACGATCTCACGATTAACCACGACTGCATTAACGAGCATTCGACATCAAGTGCGCGCTCTCCTCATTTATCCTGGGTAAAAGAAACGGAAGAACGGTCCCTGGGTCGTGCAAGAAACGCCTCCCTAACCACTCGACTCGAACGCCGAACCGCGGCTGTTCCTTTTCTCTCCATTCCCACTCCTCACCCGGTCGTCGCAGTCCCACCGCCTCCACCACCAGCAATAACCGTATCGAGATAATAATAAGCGCATCGGAAGGCCGTTGAGGATCGTACACGCGAAACGCCGCAGTCGAAGATGTCAATGCACCGGAAGTCACGCCGCCGGCTTTGACATTGCCAAAAATCGAGAACGCGGCGTTTAAAAATACGCGGCGGCTATCCGTCTCAACAAGTGGCTATTCGTCGCGTCGAGCGTGCACGCGAACGAGAGAACAAGAGCGCGAGGGCCAAGTCAGGACAAAGCGCAGAAATAGAGAGATAGATAGATAGAGAGATAGATAGATAGAGAGATAGAGAGATAAATAGATAGGTAGATGGATAGAGAGATAGAGAGATAGATAGATAGATAGATAGATAGATAGATAGATACCTCGCCGTGACTAGAGTTTTTTTTTCCATTGCTTTGTTCCGTACGGTCAAGACTCGTTGTAGTCGCACGCATTTATAGACAGTTTGTTTTTGGATTTTTTTTTTTTTTTTTTTTTTTTTTTG